GGGGGGGGGGGGGGGTGGGGGGTCCCAACTGAGCACAACAGAAGTCATTCATGATATCTACATTTTTCAGGAGGATGGGGGGCATGGGCAATGGCTGTGCTTAGTTACAGGCCACATGTAGGTAGGCTTACCTGTGCCACGAAACTGGTCACCCCCTCCCTCTCATCGGGATCGAAAGAGCCTTAGGCCAAAGGGTCCTTACAAATAGACTTTGCAGGAACAGACCTAAGGCAAATCAAAGAATTTTACTCTAAACTTCAGTTTGGTTTGAACATTGACGAAAAGGCTTAGACCCACTGTGTCTGTAGCCGCTATAGGATAGGGTAGGCCTAGGTTCAGACCTTTCAATAACGACTCATTTTGCAGGCTTATTTTAGCGATCTAAGATGAATAGAAATCTTATACAAGGTCTTGTGTATGGCAGGAGGATTAATGAAAAGTATTTTTGTGTTTTGGAACTGTGTAAATACCTTTGAAACTTGTTTTTCAATGCAAGCGAAGACTCAATCAAAATTGAATTTTCGCGATCGAGTTGCACCATCCAAGGGAGATAACTCCAATAAAGTAAAAGTCAAATGGCTAAAGACCACAACTAACTACCATTTTTTTAAAGTCGTCGTCAGAAACGTTCAGTGCACTCCAATTCTGTTGCATGTCTCAGGTCTTGGCCAACAAGCAGAGTTTTAAAATTATCTTAGATCCTGTACATTGGTTTCAGACATCAAATCTGTCATCAGGATAGCTTTTCAGGAAATGGTGCTCAAGTTGTAACTGCTAACTTATGGGTTAATCTTGTCTATGCCTTAACTGAAAGGATAGGGGTAGGTAAGGCAGGGCATGCTAACCCTTCCACAACAACTGATATCATTCAGAATCCCTTTGGGAAAGTCAGATCATATGCCATTTCTTAAAGGTACCAAAAACACAAAGCCTGTTCATAATTAAATAATTTTACTAATCATTTTAAGAGAAATACAATAAATTTTCAACTACTTTTGTTTGTTTTTTTTCCAAATTAGTCACACAAGGTCCAATTATAACATTGAAACTTTTTCATTCAAATTCTTGACACATTCAGAGGTTATTCATAATTCAAGGACAAGTTTGGTTTGTAAAGATTTTTTTCAAGTAGTAGATATGTTAATACAAATATAGCTCAATAGTACATAACAATTAAACTTATGGACACTTTTGTCAGGGATGTCAGCTTTTGGTTATGTTAACGTGCACAGTAAAACAAATCCTTTAACAAATCTAGATATCTAGATCAAGAAATAATTTCTTTACAACTCAAACATGTCCTTTAAGGAAATGTCGTCAAAAGTCTAAAATCTAGTTCAACCCTAGTCCTTCTTCCTAACTTTGTCTTCCTCATGTTTTAATTGACCGATTCTTTTCTTATGGCGCTCAATGGATTCCTGAAAGGGAAATAAATTAAGAATTAATTTCATAGGTTTAACTTGGTCTTAAGTTGCCATGTTTCTCAAAAATTACGCAGGAATAGCATGCCTGAAAATTTCTAAGTTTGGAAATTTTAGCACAAATATTTTGGCATATTTCGAAAATTTACTATTAGATACAAGATAGCTGGACATTTGTCAGTGAATTCAGACATAACTGGCAAATGATAAATTAGTTTTGATGGTATTCTCCAATGGAAAGTGAGTATATTTACATGCATCCAATATATATGGTGCAAATACTGAAACATGCTTGAATAGAATTTTAAAATAAATAAAAATTTGAAGATATAGAGGTTACATACAAGTGTAGAAATGATACTGTAAAAATTTGAAAGAAAAATTTAAAAAGAAACATCCCTTAAAGTGATGCAGTTATCTAATTAAATAGTTTTTCCCCAAAAGAATTAGTCATCTAAAAAAGAAATTGGTCAGCCAGCTTTGCTAGCCTAATAAGCCCAGATGTTAAAAAGATTATAGAATACAGCTTTTTCAGGAACTGTGCTGGCCCTGATACACGATCTACATAATCATCAAATAGCTACCATTGGCCCTTTCAAACCCGTTTCAAATCATAAAACATAACGTCTACTAGCACTGCCAGATATTAAGACCCCTGATTTTGCAGTCACACCCCCTATTTCAAGACTAATACAGAACCTCAAGCCTACAGCTTTTGGGACAGTTACCTTATGTTGCTTAATAGACCTTTCATGATGTTCTATTTCTTCTCCTAAATGTTCCTTCATTTTCTTCAACTGTTCAGCTTGCTAATGGAGGTAGGATGTTAACAACATCAAGAGAAGAGAGGAGAGGAGAAGAGAATAAAAAAAAGTGTTACGTCACTACAATAAATACAAGCATGCTAAATAGGCTTTGGTGAATGAAGGAAATGCTTTCATCAAGGGCAATAACTCAAGAATATCAGCCAGCTGGATCAAGAGTCGACTGACTCGACCACCTTCAATAAATCAATTTTTCAACTAGAACAGTAGATAGTAAGTCTAAACATGTCAAAAGTTTGATTTTTTAAGGCTCATATGTCAAACACTTTTTCACAATAAATTTTGACCAAAGGGGCCATTTAGGCCTACATTTAAGCCCAAGCATTTCTTTCATTACCAAATGTAAGTTGCCAAAACAACAAAAAAATGATTAGGCCTACAAGCAACCATAGAAATATTTTGGTTACAAGGCACTGCTTCACCTTATGCATCTCAATTTGTCGCTCTTGATCCCGAATTTCATCTTTCAAAAAAGTTTTCAAGTCCTTAAGTTGTTCATATTGCTGGCAGCAGAAAAATTAAACATAAAATCGAAAACATTTTATAAATATTACAGGTACTTTTGTGCCATATTTTTTAGCTTCTGTAGTTTGGAATCCGACCTATGCTTTCCCAAAGCCAAATCATGGTTCAAATAGACTCTAGCTGTGAGACATCTGTCAAATGTAACAATGTGCCTCTTATTATTACACAGCAAATTCTTTAATATGAGGCCAGGTTCACCAAAATGTAGGATTCTAGTTTTGAAATCCTGATTGCATTTTCACTTTTGAAGCCGTAATATCTTAAAATCTCAGCTTTAATCAGAGGCATACAAGATAACCATTTACACTTACAAGTTTTCTGAAATACTGTTCTTCATGAGCAGCCTCCATTTTACCAAAACTACCCCCAGCTTCTCTGATGGAGCCCCCTCCTCCACCGCCCTGTAAGATATAAACAGATTGGAGCTTTACACCCACTGTATCCTATTGAGCAGATGAAATGAAATGCTGTATAATCAACACCTTTATGGCTATATAAAATAAAGGAGTAGATCTATTACAGGCCTATGATTTCTTATGGATTAAGCTCACCAATATATCAGTTCACTGTTGGTATATATGCATATTGTGTTACGCCTAGTCAAGATCTAGAACTTTCATTTCTTCACCAGTGCAAAAATGTCAAAAAGAAGAATTTTCTGGAAGAAAAATGCCAATACCTACCTTGCCAGCACCTGATCCGAATTCATCTGACATACACCTTGTCCTAAATATAAAATAAGCTCATCATCAATATTTAACGTTTATGTTTTAAGCTAATCTGAAGCAATTTTTAGATCTGGGACTGCCTTATGCAAGAAAATGGCGAAATAATACTCAACATCTCAATGACAAAATTGACTTTGAACAACAAAATAGACCAATTCGTCAATGCCACTGGTCAAAAAATTTACTGGACATAAAGAATGGACAATTTGGCTAATAATCACAGCAGTGGCAAGGAAATCAGAAGAATACAAACCCTGTTAAACGAACAAGAAGAGGAGCCCTTGCCAAACATGCCAGTCTACTCGTCGCCATCTTGCTTTGTAACGATGAAGGACGTCAAGGGATGTAACTCTATTGTAGTAGTGTTTGACGCGAGTAAATTACCGCAGTTAAATAATGACTTTTTAGTCCAGTCTGTTTGCCTCTTTAATTTGCTTAAAAAATCGATTTCCATGAAGACTTTTACATTAAAGCCTTCACATTAAGCTTCAAGAGAGTTCCATTAAGTCTTTCATAGCCGAATAGCTTCTTCAGAAGGATTTGTACTTCCATATATGTCTGCGCTGGTTTTTCCCCTGCCCGAATGTTTTTGAGGAAATGGTCTTCCTGTTTCAGAGACTTTGGTACAAATGGCAGTCAACCTGGTCCTTCAATAAGGGAATTAATCCAATGAAAACAAAATTAATCAGTCTTTCACATTTTATTAAGAAAATTTTGACATGAACAGAAATTTAAATTTATTTTTTGATATTTTGATTCAAATTGATGGACAAATTAGAAGGATAATATTATTGAAACATTTTTTAACACATGAAATGGAGTTTTACATCCTATATTTTGTCAAAAAGGAATTTATAATTTGCAATAAAATAAAATGAAACGAAAAAGTACATTTGTTTTAAGGTAGCCAATGATATTTACAATCTAATAAAAATGCAGTTCAGCAGAGAAGAAAATGAAACATAATTTTAATTAGATTGACCATGTACACTAAGCGAGAACAATAGTTTTAAGGGGATATTCTAAGCTTTATTTCTATAAACATGACTAGGATATCAATAAAACTAAATATTAGAATTAAAATTACAAATCTACACCCAAATCCAACTTAAAAATCCAGAATTTAACAAATGCAGTAATCTTATTGGATAATAAAACTAAATTTAAAACTGATTTTTTTAGTGCTTGACCACTCAGATGACTGGAACACAGAGACCTGAATTGACCAGCAATAACAGAAAGTAACTAATGGCCTGATGGGTTCAAAAGCTATATGTGAAGATGCTCACATACCCTTCAAAATCAAGATGTCTGCCGCAGGCATTCAATAAAATTTCTAACACCTAAAATAAAGTAATCTCACAAAAAAGAATTTTAATAAAATATATTTTATCTTATTTACAATAACATACATTAATTTGTTTTTCTTTTTAAAGCTATCGAATACGGGGCTGTTTTATCAGAGATTTGCATCGCACAATCTGATTGGGTAATATTATAAATGCACTAGCAACTACCGATCAGAGTTTTTGTATGTCTGATCATAGTTAAGTTACATTTTTTTAAACAACCCACCCTAGACCAGAAAAACTGAACTACAGTCATCCAACTTACAGTTTAAGATATTTTGTTACTTTTATTTTCTGTGAGCTCCTTCACTCATTCAATACAAAAATAATCATGTGAACCCATTAAAACCAAACAATATTGTCAGATCTTACATAAAAAAATTGTTGACCAAATTCCCGATCGAATTTTATTTTAGGCGGGAAAGTCTGTCAAAAAGTAGCTGAAACACATGAATCCATTCTGCGTAAATATCTTTCAGAGAGTTCACATACCTTATTATGACTATGATATGGTGGGCTTAAAAACCCTTCCAGCAAAACTGATTTGTTTCGGGGTGGCTTAGAAAGTTTCTTATTTAGAAACAACAGATCAGAAACGAATATATTAGAAGCATCACATGGGCAGACATGGACCAATCAAATACAATTTAACAATGGACAATAAGAAATTAAATGAACCAATCACCAAGTCTGTAACAAACAATAAGTAGGTATCAAATAAGCTTAGTTGACTTTCTTTCCTTTTCTCTGTTTGACATTTCCGTTTTCTGTGTTCTGGTCAACTTCTGGTAGGGAGTTGATATCCTCATCTTGAACTGAAAGGAAAAAAACATCATGAATTTTGCTATGAGGGAAATTTTGTCAGGACAGCGGCATAACCCCATTCCATTTTGTTTTGAACTGTCAAGGGATCTTATAAGTGCACAGCCTGTAGCACATAGGACCTGCACCACTGACAAAAAGAAACTTGTGTTATGTTCTCAGCAGAATTTTGGACAACTCTTTAAAGCTCACCTTTAGTTCTTTTCTTACTGGGCGATCGTGGCTTTTTGGCGGCAAAGTTGGCACTTCGCTCTCGTAATTTACGTAAGTGGAAAGTGATAAAGGTCCACATTAACCAGGCTTGTAAGAAACAGATTGCTGTCAAACAATTCAATCTAGAAAAAAAAGATAAAAATTTGGATCATTTTTGATGTGACTATTAAAGATGGCAGCTAAAATATGCACAAGGAATGTTCCAAAGAATAAGTAATATAAGACAAAATTGATATTTCTCAAGCTTATTGACATGGTTAAATCAAGAAAAATAATTCAGAATTCATGAAATGAAAATTAATGGAATTCGAACACGTCCCCTCGAGTTATAAAAATGGCTGACGTACCTGATGAACTGTGTATTAAAATTACCAGCAGAGACATCAAAAATAGATTTGTTGCTCTGTTCTAGACCATACCTAAAATATAATAAAATTCTTTCAACATGTGGAATATATCTAATAAATCAGGAAAGATTGATGCCAAGAGGTTTGACCATGGACCAGTTGGTACAAAGGACCCTAATTTTATTCCAGTCAAACAGGCACGACAATCTGGGAAAGACCAATGCCAAGAGGTTTGGTCAAGGTCCAGCTGGTAGGTCCTGAGCTAAATAAGCAGACCCTTTTTCTTAGCAAGAAAGATCCAAAGAAGAATGAAGAAAAACGTACCAGAAAGTTAAAACAGCTAAAGTAATTGTACCTAATCGTACTAACACAAACAATACATTAAATACCATAAAACTGAAATTACAAAAAAAATATCATTTTAAAATAGATTAAGCTAAAAGAAAATGGAGTTAAACAGCCTAAAAACACAGACAGCCCACCCACCCTGTAAAGTCTTTCAATGGCACTTCTTTTAGGAATTGTACACACGTTATAGAACGACAATCACTGGTTAAAGTTTTAAGCAACTTTGTGGCATGTTTCTAGTGTCGTCCTTAGGGGACATAATAACTTAAAGTGAAAAGCAAACTTACCCAGTGTTAGCTAATTCAGTTTTTTCAGCAAAATATAAGAGTCGAGCTACATGATATACAAACTCTACTGTATAGTGTAAAACTAACATACATAGAGCTACTCTGTTAAAACTGCAAAAAAAAAAAATACATACAAATTGATAACACAGTTGATAAAGGAATCAAAATGGTTTATAAAAATGTTGTACATGCAGTGTGCAATGAGGGAAATTTGGTCTCACAATCATCCAGATTAGCTCTCTGTTAAACATCTGAAACTTTGTTGGCTGCAGTGTGCAATGAGGGGAAATAATGACAAAACTTACTTAAGTAAATAGGAAGCTGTGATAAAAACTAAATATAAAACAGCATACTGAATTCTTGGTCTCATTTCATCCTGCAATTATAGACAAAAACATTCAAATAACAGTACAAAGGGAAAAAAACTTTATATTCTAAATGGAATCATGTATGTCAAAGAAGAAAATAATGAAGAAATCTAAGTATACCAACTCACCTTTTTCACTTTTTGGAAGTATAATTCAGGAAAGGTGTGAATCCAGTAAGCTATTTGAAGAATAAAGTAAAACTTAACAAGAAACCTAAAAAAGAAAAAAAAAAAACTGTGAAAGATCTGGCCAAGGACCAGCTGGATGACAAAGTTGTGATCCAAAAATGGCAGAGCAGCTTTAAGCATACAAATGGACCAACACGTTTTAAGACGACCTTTAAAATCAGGGAAAACAGGGACCTTCATACTTGTAACCATGCGCCAAACTCACTTAAAATAACCAATGAATGTATGAGTTGGCCCAGGGTGATAGGTCTAAACAAAATAACACCAGAATGGATATACTTACGGGAAATTAGCATGAGGATAATTGTCCCATAATCTACTGATTCCCATTAAATAACTTTCCTATAATAATAAAACATTGGGTAAATGAATACAGGCATCACCATGCAGTGTGCAAATGAGGGAACTAGAAGAGCATTAGCCTTTTCTTTCCTTATTTCAACTGTCAAGGAATCTTTAATATGGACAGTCTGTAGTACTGTGGGCCTCGATTTATTGTCCTGTCCAAACGACTAGACGCCTATTATCCATGTCACCCCCCTGACCTGCTTCACTGACAGGGGCACCGGAGTTGTAAAATCCACAGGTATATTTCATTTTGTCTGTTACAAAAAAGTTACATACCCTGTAAATGATGTCGACACCAAATAAAGCTGAAGTGATATAAAAGGCCAGCAGTTGTCCAGATTCGTTGAATTTACTGTGTTTCACTTTAGATAGATGCATACGACGGTTGAATTTCTAAAAAAAGGAAAACATGGAATCAAAATCACAAGGAGAAATTTGATTCAGTGCAAATCCAGTTCACTAAATTGCAAGAACCACAGATGTCTGACTGAAAATTAGGTGCAAGGTGCATCTGATACAAATAAAAAATGGCTCAAAAACAATCTTTTTAGGCGTTGAAGCTTCAGTGGCGTCACATGATTAATCAGTAGCTTGGTACAATTCATGACCAATAGCGTCACTGCTTGTATTAAAAGGGTTAACCACTTACATCTAAAACATATTCCTGTAATACAGCATGAACCACGATACAAATTAAAGAGTAAAAAAATACAGCAAAGACATCTTTTCTACCATAAGTATAATATCCTACATCAGGATCATAATCTGCACTAGTTGTCTCTGAAACACAACAAACAATGTAAACTTTACATCACAGTAAATGGACAAAAAATATCTGTTTTATACACAATATTTAATAAAAATATGAAAAGAAGTTGTGTGAATTGAAACATATGTTAAAATGTAGAACTAACTTTTTGGGTAGATTTGAATAAAATAGAATTTTCTCCCGTGGCAAAACTGTTTTCTTATTTAGATTTTTTAAAGAAAATGGGCATCTCTTCTAAAAACTTACCATTGAGGGTAACATTATGTTGCATTGTAACAAACAGTGTAGCAACTGGACTAGTCACCTGAAAAAAAAAATTGATAAAATGTTGTCTGATTGAAACAAATAAATATCATTTCATAGACTAAAGAAGTTATAATTTAAATAGTTTCCATGTCTACCAAAAAAAAAAAAGTAAAACCATATGGAAATAATGCTATGTTACAAATCAGATCTACCATTTGCCCATTTGGGTGAAATGTCCAGGATCTAATGCATTATTAAATGAAGAAATCTGCAAATCAAACCTTATAACCCTGGCATTCAGATATAAAAAAATATTCATGTCTGGAAATGGAAATTTAGTTTTTGTTGATGCCAACATACCAAATTTCTCAAACCAAAAAACAGCCGGTAGTTGAAAATCGGCATTAAAAAATTACCTGGAACATCAGTCCAATGACAAATACCATGGCAACGCATGAGACGATGTCTGGGTGATTCTGAATGATGAACTCATGGCTGAAAATCGGTGGATTTTTCGACTTATTCCTTCTTGGTGCCATTTTCGTGTCTGAGGAAATCACCGACGTGGCTTCTTGTGTGGAGACGCCGGAAGTGGCGAGTAGCCTCGATTCCGTTATTTTCTCAACCTGATAAAGTTATTAAGACGATTTTCATTGGTTGAATCTCAAGAGAGGGTGGAGCTGGAAGGGAATTTGTCAAAATGTTCACATTAACTTTTGCTTTCTTTTGCATAGTTTTGTGAATTATCTGTACATTTGTCTTCTCGATTGATTCAATATTATTCCATTTTTTTCATCCTACAAAATTGAGAATATTGGAAAGTCAGGAATGGTCGAAATTAACTTCCGAAAGCACTTGCCGTTAAGTAATTAATCAACTAATCAAATCACTTGTTTCACACTCCAATAAAATTGATGATCACATGACTCGAATAGCGCGTGCTGGTTGTCATCCAAACAGCAGAAATGGTGAAACTTTTACTGTTTTGGTGATTTTCGACTAATTCTAACGGTAAATTAACCGATCAATCTATGCTTTTTTATAGATCATTATTCAGTTGATTCTTCTGATGCATTCTTTTCACCGATCGCCTGTTTGATTGTCTCAAAACATTACAAATAACCTCTTGACGTTTTGTAAAATACAGAAGTTAGTTGTTGTCTGTAGTATTGAGCCAATCTGTTTATTACGATTATCTCCCATGGATCATTAAATACCTCCAACTTAAAATCGACTGCACTGTGCGATCAGACTTTTTAGTTCCAGTTCATAGGGTTTAAATTTGTCTCTGAACGATGATTTCACAGAGATATCGAATAAGGTGTCTATTGTCAGTTTTGAAAAAATACAGAAGTTAATTGTTGTCTGTAGTATTGAGTCAATTTCTTAATTTGGATTACCTCCCTTGGACCATTAAAGTACTGCTATGCTCTTGGCTTCACAACCAAGATAGAGATCTTCTAGCTTGTTCATGACCACAATGTGCCATCACATTTTTTAGTTCCATTTTGTACTGTTTGTATGCTGATTTTTCAGAAGTATGATTATCAGAAGCGTAGAATGATAAATATTTTGGATTAGGCATATATCTTGTGCTCTGTCCAATTCAGTGGTTGGAGTACCCCCTTCTCTCATCTGCTAGAGCAACCTTAGTGCTCTGCAAAGATTCTGGTATTTTTATTCTCTCATTTCAAACTGAAGAAAAGTAGGATGTAAAACTCTATTTCATTTCATTTCAGAAGATTAAATGGATTTCAAGTCATTTTTCGTCTAACTTCAATCAACAAAGAATTAAAAAGGGTAAATAAATTTATTTAATATGTCTTCCCTTGGGAAATGTTCTTACTTTGAGGATGATTTGAACTCATGTCTTCTGAGCTATTAGGATCACCTAATTGTCGCTTTCATCCGTATCACTTAACAGAATAGAAATACGTTTCCTGGATTGTCCACGATTATTTATAGTGTCATCCTCCAAATTAATACAGATGTCTTGGATCTCCACTTCTCAGAAAAACTTTTATTTTTTTAATGTAGGCCTCTGTTTTAAATGTCAACGTTATGGACTTTATCACTTAAATTGTTTTGTTTTAATGACAGACAAACTCGATGTTAAATTCTCGTTTTGGGTAGGGCTAAGTGTTTCAGGTCTGTAACAACCGATTATGAAAATTTCTATGGGACTACATCCCTTTAATATCTGCCAATAATAAATGGCATATTTGGAAGCCAATATCCCTTTAAATGGTAAAAGTCTCAAGATTAGCTTTGTTGATTGACATCTGGTTTGATCTATTTATAGTAACATCCCTATTCAGTACTGTAAAGCTTGGAGGCCATTTCCCTCACAAATCAACAGCAGAAAAAGTTAGGTATGGGTATAAAAATGTCTAAATTTTCAAGATTTTGATGCAGAAATGACTTGATTCTAACTATGTGTAGCATTTTCAATTGTTTTTGAGCTCTTGTCATTTACAAAATATTGATTTTTGCACAGAATTTCTGTGTTTTGATACAACAATTTAGGTCATTTGCTGTACAAGTATGAAGAATTTTCCCTAATGCATTTGTGTTTTGATGTATGAAAAATTCATACAGAGTTTGGTCACTGAATAATGCGTAGAGCTTTTTTTCAGCGGTACATAAGCATTAGCGCTCTATCGCAAACATTTATTTACCAATCAATATGTTTTACTTAAAACCTAGAATTTTCATATTGCGTAGCCATTATTGCTTTGAGCGCCATTTTAAAGGTGAAATTATCGTTCCAAAATAGGTTTTATATTTCCATAGCGCTTGGAGATTTTGTGTGATTTTAATTACTGGTATGAAAAAAACTGCTTAGAAAATTTCAAGACCAATTTGTTATCTCTTTTTAGAGTGACGTGAAAACAGGAATTCTGTAAGACCAGGCTGTATTAGAATTGGTAAGTACCAAGGTCTTTTACTGCAGTCCCCTTTCTGATTTACTGGTCAAATCTGGATCTACCAGTTCCTCCATTGTGTTATATGGATGTGATATCAGCACATTTAGTGCGGGACATAACATGCAAAACAATCTTCAGATATGTCAAAATTAAGAATTAAGCACCATGTTATTCTCAGCTTCAGGGGTCTAGACGGCACCCATGTCTTAAACTTATTTACTGTCCTTAAAGAAAAATGTCCTTAACCACAGCCAGTGCTTTCTGTAGTCCAAATGTAGATATTTTTTAAGTTCTAGGGCTCTTTAAATCGAAATTTAAAACTTTTATGAATTAAACGCAAAATTGTTGGAGTAACAAAGTTTGAAATTATTTTTTTTAATAAGAAAAGCAAAATCTTATATAAGTTGAGATATTTTAATTATTTCTTACTCAGCCAAAACTGAGATATGATAAAAACTAACTCTAAGCAGGTCTGACCAATCAGAAGCCGGTTGCTATGGTAACGACCTGACCCCGAAGGATAAGTAGTTGTATTGTGAGCTGTTCTTACAAACACTAACTCACTGATAAATTGAAGATGGAAATTTGATGTGTAAACTTATGACTTAAGAATATTAAGAGTAGATTATTTTTAATTTGAGTTTTATTTGGTTCTTAGTTAAGCCCTAAAATGCCTTGGCTGCGGGATCATGCAAGGGTATTTGTATTTTGATAGATTTTGGGGGAAATGGGGGATATTCTGGAACCAACTTAACAATCCTTGTTTACCCCATTTCATATATTTGCATAATTTTTTTTAATTGCAATTATTCAATTATAAATTTTCAAAAATGCGTGTGATTTTGAGAATTCTACTGCTGATGATGGTTATAATAACCGAAACATGTTGTGACATCACCATGAGATAATGAAATAGATTTTCTACATCCATCTTGAAATTTGAAATCCTTATTCAAAATGTTTAAGAAATAGGCCCCTAATATCAGAATACTCTTTAAACAATACATAAATTATGTATCATTATTGAACACTAAACAATACATATGTATCTTTATACTCATTGAACATTAAGCTATACATATATATCCTTATTGAACACTAAACAATACATATGTATCCTTATTGAACACTAAACAATACATATGTATCCTTATTGAACACTAAACAATACATATGTATCCTTATTGAATACTAAACAATACATTTGTATGTATCCTTATTGAACATTAAACCAAACACATGTATCCTATTACCTGTTGACAATACATATGTATCCTTATTGAACTTAACTCGATAACAAAGCTTACTGTCAATCAACAATATAGCCCTGCAGTTATAGTATCCTTTAGCTAGACTTCAGCTCCACCCACTAAATCTAAAAATAGCCAAGCCTTGTTGATTACACATTGCCACCATTTTGTGAAGATATCTGCTTTAGATGAAACAGAAATTTAGCATAATTTTAGCTTGGGTTAGCTCCAATGAAGGTGAAAACGGTTTATATTTACCAAATTTTGCATTCTTGTAAATGAAACAGCATTGATTTGTGTCTAAAATGAAGCCAAGCTGCCATTTTCAAGACTTTTGTAGTCTTGTTTATAAGGCCATGTGATTAATGAAGGATTTAAATTGAGAAGGGTCATATAAACTCATGTCAAAAAGGCTATTTTTGGCAATTTGTCGCAAGTGCATTGAAAATTTATCAAATTTAGCGGCATAGTAGCAATTGGTCATCAAAATCAATACTTGTGCATTATTAGTTGTTTGGAAATTTGCAGGTATTACTTTTAATAGCTCTTTCATAAGTGATAAGTACTATATATATATATTTTCCATTTTGAAGAAGATAAATTATGCTGGCCATTTTGTCGCGAGTGCATTATTTTAACGAAATACAAAATTTTGTATTATCAATGTATAAAAAAGTCATCGATTTTTTGTGAAAAAAATATAAACTTAAGTTTGAAAATATGTATTTTAAGTTATAGATTTACGCTAATATCCGCTTGTAATTTTTTTTCATAATGTCAAGGGTAAAATATAACCCAAATTCAATCAACAATTCCATAAACAGGCTGTCTACTTCATTGATTTTTTGTAATAACGATATGTGCTAATGTATGAACAAGTTATAAATAGGCCTCTTAGTTATATAGACTATACCTACTATATAGTATTTACTTGACTACATTGGCGGCCATTTTGTGTAAATAGGAAAAGAAAAACTACTGAAACTTAATATTTTAAGACGTAGCTGGCTATCACAAAAATTATTAATTATTATAAGCAACTTTTGGGATAATGACGTCACATCGAATTCAGAATGGTGTAAATAAAAGTCATAACTGGCCCTGATACACATAAAAAAAAAGCCTGAAAACCTCTTTCCAACCTGTTGCTATGCTATTTCTTTCTACTAATTAACGTAAAATATTTTGTATTATTTTTCAGTCAATGAATCAAGCTCGTACTAAAGCCAGTGTCATACGAAATGAAAGCATACGACGAAGACGATCAGCTCCGCAGAAAATATCAACCGCAGAAAAAGGTAATTGTGAATTATCCAATCAAAATCTTTATTAGTTCATAAGGTTCCCTCAAATTTCATTGCAAAGCACTACGAAGCACCTGTATAACTCTTTTAATTTCATTTAACTTAACATTATTCGAAAAAAGAATTGTCTTTTCATTTCAGATGCCACACCCCCTAGTTCCGCAGGCTCCAATAAGAGTATCAGAACGAGGCTATCCACAGGCACGTTATATATGAATGGTACCTCCACCATTAAAGATCTCAAACCAACAGACGACGAAGACATGCCCAAAACTTCTAAAGGTACGAGAAAATTGTTGCTTAACCTTAAGCTTTTAGTTATAGCAGAAATGCAAGAAAGACAGACGTCTGATTGAAAATTTGAGTGATGCAAGTCGAACTGACATTTTCCCTGATACACGTAGAAAGTTTAGAAAACCTTTTTACAATCTCCTTAAGGCAGAAAGGGACTGTGTGCTGTGGCTGTAGACATTTGCCAGTGTTGTGATTATATTTCCCTCATTGTAAACAGCATGGAATTGCCTGTCTTCCTTGGCCCAATCCAAATCTGACATAAATTATCTCTTAACTCCCTTTTTTAATATTTTCTTCTTTAGAACCCACAGTATCAAGAAAAAGGAACGCAGCAAGAGATTTGGACACTCCATTTTCTGTACCCAAAAAAAGAAAAGTGGCAAAGAATGATGGCTCGGGCACGGTGAGAGATAAATTTTACTAAATCAGTTTTCTAACTGGATAATATTATTTATTTCTTAATCTTGTGCAAACATGATATCTCTGCCGGTGCTTTTGTAAAGACTTTAATCTCATTTGGGAAAAAACATATGGTCATTGAAACTTTTTACAACTTCTGCCTGAGAATGCCTAAATTGGTGCTTAAAAGCACCTCTCTTTCCTCTCTTTCGTGCCATTGGCAAGTGAATTCTGCAATTGCTGATTTTAATTTCAGGAAATCTATACTCTTTCGGAAACGGTACAGATGTCTTTTTGAAATTTAAAAATTTGGAATAAAAATCTCAGATTGATTGCTTTGATTGACAAATTTCAGATTTGATTTACAAATGTCAGATTGATTGGCAACTTTAAAATTTGATTGCTTTGATTCAGATTTGATTTACAAATTTCAGATTGATTGCTTTCATTGTCAAATTTTCAAATTTGATTGAATTTTTATTTTTGATTGTTTATGATTAATCATTGATTTATTGCCCTGATTTATTTTGATTTTTGTTGATTTTATCCTCACCGCTTTCAAAAACATAATTGCCTGCTAGAAACCACCCAAAAAATGTAGAAATAACATATTTTTACAAATAGTTTGAATTTAGAAAATTTAAAGTTGATATATAGCTCAAGAATGAGTGAAGTAATGCAGAGGAAAAAAAAGAAACACAATAATTAGAGCTGAGTTTTATTTTGATGGACAGAGCTATATGCTTGTAATATTTAATTTTATACTCTTCAAGTTTTATTTCCATTGGAGGGTGACCAAATTTATTAAACCTCTTGTTTGTTCCTCTATTTTGTTTCTTATTGGATTTTGATTTTAGATAGGTGGTCTGGACTGATGTATCTGTTTTCTATCTTTGTAGGATAATAAAAATGATTATTTTTGTTGGATTTGTCACAAGGAAGGTTTATTGGTAGGATGTGAGCTCTGTCCACGAGTTTACCACACCAAGTGTTTGAACATCAACAGTGAGCTGCCCAATGAATGGGTTTGTCCTGAATGTGAGGTGAGTTTAAAGCCAGTTTTTTTGTATGATTTTAAGCACATGTAAAAGGCAGGACTCTATCTGTCAATCACAATAAAGCCACACCCACTGTGAATAATTCATAGAGAATACCATTTGTTTATCATTCCATTGCTGTTTTAAACTCTTGTCTAAAGGCTTAATTTATAATATTATACAACTCATTTGATAAATACTGATGTAGAATGATTAAAATAATTTTTGTCAACCCAGAATCCCCTTTAGAGAGTCCACATTTTTGATCTTTGTTCATTCATTTTGCAGCAAATAATGAAGAGTGAGTGCATAGAAACACGAAGTAAAGCTATGAGTATGATTTCTATAGATACATTATGTAATCTATTAAAACATGCTCTACGCAGGATGCAGATACCAGAGGTAAGTGGGAGGGGCTAGAATGATGTGGGAGGAGCATTAAAAAAAAAGGTGTGGCCTATTTGATAAACCCCTTTTTACCCTTAAGTGAATTTGAAAAAAAGTCTGCCACCATAAATAATGTAGACCCAGTGATAAAAAAATCTAATTAAGTTATCTTTGTTACAGAGTGAAGCGTTTGAGAAGCCTGTAGATACAGTATTATTGCCTACATATTCTGATTTTGTTTATAATCCAATGGATCTTGGCCAGCTTTCTAGGGTAGGTTTTTCTTGTTGCATTTATAATACAAAATGTCCCACTTTCAAACTATGAAAAGTCCCTAGTCATCAGTAGTTAAATAAATACTTGCCCTTAAGGCAAATGATGACTTCAGTTGGTAATAAAATTGGATTTCCATAAGCCTAGTAATTTATATATTCAAATCTCTCCAATGCAAAGCTCCATGTCATGGCCATGGACTTCAATTTACTCTTGTTTTCACATCTGGACTCCAATTGATAACTTGACGTTTGCTTCAATATTTAAAATCTTTTGCAGAGTATCAGAAAAAAGCAATATGGCTGCACAGAAGCATTTCTAGCAGACGCCAAATGGATCTATCATAATTGTTATGTTTTTAACGGAAGCGATCATCATTTAACAAAGACAGCTAAAACTATTGTGAAAATCTGTAAACATGAGGTAAGCTTTCCGAAGATTTTTTGGCCAACATATTTTGGAACTGTGTCATTACGACCACACCCCCTTATAAATTAATAGACTGGAGCATAGTTCACGGTAGAAATATATCGCAGAGAAATTGAAAAGGCTATAGTTTGTATTTCTCAGTCCCATTTGATAACCCTACGTCAGAGTATATCACGTCCTGCGGAGCTATAAGATTAACATATCTATGTTCTGCTGTACTTGATTAAGGTGTGCACCAATAATTGGAGAGTTTTGGCTTGAATGTGTGAACTTGTTTTGTAGATGAACGAGATAGAAGTCTGTCCAGATTGCTATTTAAATTCCTGTGAACAATCGGATGAAGATTGGTTTTGTGAACCTTGCGTAAGTATCAACTTGTAGTTGTTCTAATTGGAGAAATTTCTTAGCAGTAGGTGGCGCCACTTTCCTGGAAAATTCCCTCCATTGCCCACTTCTTTGTATTGCCATTACAAAAGCTTACATAATCTGACACTTGCATATATATCTTGTGTTCAATAAACAACATTGTTATGCTACTTTTTTTTCTTTTTTTTCTAGAGAACTCCACACACGTTAACGTGGGCTAAGTTAAAGGGTTATCCATTCTGGCCAGCCAAGGTATGTAATTATTTTTCTAGACTTTGATTTTTGATATGGGTGTATGTACCCCTGTCACATTTTAAACATAACTATCTTTCCGAGAGCTTTTGACCCATTCCTTGGTGCTCACAAATGTTCGTTGCTACCCTATTCCCCGAATTTTAATGTGGTTTATTATTTTTTTTTTTTATTAATTTCAGGCTTTAAGAGAAATGGATGGTTTAGTTGATGTCAGATTTTTTGGAGCCCATGACAGGTAGGTTTTATATAATCATCGTAAAATTTGGGATCCATTTCTTTTAGTTGGTTCTTCGCTTGCCCAATGTGAAATCTTTCAGACCTATTAACCAGTCCATTTTTTTCCAGATCCTGGGTACCAGCTAGTAACGTGTTTCTGCTCTCTAAAGAATGTCCAATCCCGCAGAAAAAAAGGTCCTCCTACTTCAACGATGCTTTTGAGGAACTTAATCGTCATGTTCAAAATATTGAAGAAAGATTTGGGACATTTGAATATCACCCATTTCGAACACCGTACGACAAAAAATATACCCAGAAACCCCCAGGTCCGAGAAAAGCATCGTCTAACAAAATATTCGGAACTCGTGTCAAAAAATCGTTGCATTCCAAGAAAGCAGCAAATGCCTTGATAAATAAATACAGCTCCATAAACTCTCAAAAAAAAATTCCTGGAAGTAAAGTTTTACGTGCAGTCATTGACAAAAACGAATGTGAAGTTATCTTAGATAATAAGTCTGCGAAAATTCAAAATATCTTAGTGATGGACAAGAAAAAAGTGGAAAGCAGCAGCGAAGCAGACACAACTGACAGTGACGCCATATTGAATTCCGATTTGAATGAATCTCTTGGAGAATCTTCCATGATGATTATTCAAGACGCGATAAGTGGACGTAGAAATTCTCAAGACAGCGCCCCAATTGAGTCATCATCTTTAGCAAATGTGACAGACATTAAATCTTGTGTGAATAAAGGTGTTAAAAATAGCTTAAACACATTGACAACTGTTGCCAAGGCAACCGTGACTGCACCTCAAGCATTAAAGAGTGCTGTAAACATTCAAAATCCTGCTCAGGTTTCAAATGAGGATCAGACAATTTCCCAACCCTCGGAAGACACAAAACATTTAAAGTCAGCTAGTCCTGTTTCTATGGAAACAACCTGCTCAGCAGAGGTGAAAAACCAAAATGGCTGCTCAAATTTGAACAGTAAGGAAACAAATAGTGCTAGTGAAGCGAAGACACCTACAGTTGTGAAAGACTCCCAAGCGATGCAAATTTATCCAAACAATTTCGAATCTACAGACACTGAAACAGAAAATGAAAAATTAGTCATTGATTTGGATGGGAAAGGGTCCGCGTCTGAAACAGTTCCAAAAAATATTGAAGCCAAATTAGATCCTCCCAAAGTTGATCAGTTGGTCACAACTCCTCCTAAAAGCACCTCGCCTCAAAAATGCTCAATAGAAAGTCCTATGGAAGTGCAGGAAAGTTCTCAATCAAATGATGCTCCAGTGCAAAGTGATACTACACCTGAGCCAGTTTCAGAGTTAAAAAACCCAAATTCAAATGACGCTAAGTTGTCGGAAACTTCAGAAAAAACACCAATCTCAGTAAATAGTCAAGAAGTTCCCAAAGAGAAATCTAATGATTTGGAACCCAAAGAAAGTGAAACGGATGAACTATCAACCAAAGCAAGCGTGCTGTCAACCATTCCAAATGTGCCTAATACTGATGACTCAGTTTCAGTAAGTGCATCTGCTGCACCATCAAAAACTGTATCTGGTGAAACAGATAGTGTTTTCAAACCTATTTCACTGCCTGTATCAAAACCAGCAAAACCTCCAAATGCTAAGCAAATGTAAGTATAAGAGGGGTCTGTAGCACAGTCAGTTAGAGCATTGGAATCTTTACATGATGTCATTGTCAAACAAATGGTTGTGGATTCTAAACATGGTCAGCATTTGAAAGTGTGGTGACCTTCTTTCTTATTATTCCAGCTGTATTGACTTGCACCTTCTTGTTTTTCAGAGTTTCAAACTCGCCTCCACCAGGTTACTGTGATGAATTCGACTTTCTTTCTGAAAAATCTGTCCATGCCACAGAAAACACACTCCCATCCACACACATTCAAGATGAAAAGAGTCCAAAGATGGAGAAGTTGAAAGATTTTAGCGTCACCCAGAATTCCAAAGTTGACACAATGTTAAAAGGAAAAGAAGAATCCTCAAATGAAGAAATTATGGATGCCAATATTCAGGACATGATCAAATCTTACAGTGCCAAGGTAACAGAAACAACCTATTGTACAACCATATTCAAACCTGTATTGTACAACCATATACAAACCTGTATTGTACAACCATATACAAACCTGTATAGTACTGCCATATACAAATGTGTATTGTATTGTACAAACGTATATTGTATTGTACAACCATATTCAAACCTGTATTGTACAACCATATACAAACCTGTATTGTACTGCCATATACAAATGTGTATTGTATTGTACAAACCTATATTGTATTGTACAACCATGCACAACCATATGATGTACAGTCATGTACAACAGTGTACAATTTTGTATTTTACAACCATGTATTGTCCAACCATCTACAACCATTTATTGTACAACCATGTATCGTACATGTTTTTTTCTGTTTTCAGTTATCTAATTCAATAGAAGATACTCTCTCTACTATGTGTAAAGATATTGTCAATGCAGCTACCAAAGCTCAGGTAACTTTTACTTTTGCTTTCTGTTTTTGACCTGAAGCAAAGATGGGAAAATCCATCTCAAAAATCTCCACTCTCTATGAGGAAAGCAAAGACTCTTTTTTCAGAGACCAGAGCACAAAAGAATTCAGTTTTAAATTGTAATAAGGTCAACCATTTTCTTTCAGCAGAAACAAGAATCAGGTAAAGAGCAAAAACAATATGAAGGCAAAACGAAAGAAGAAATAATAGCGGGAGAAATTCAGCTATTAAAATGGAGTCATTCTCGACAGATTCTGGACATTAAACATAATTTTAGTAAGTATTCTTTGTTCCATTATACTGCATGTTGCTTTATGCTGGGTTGTTCCATGTCCTCCTGGTTGTTCAATGGTCTTTCAGGTTGTTCAATGGTCTTTCTGGTTGTTCAATGGTCTTTCTGGTTGTTCCAGGACCTCAGGCTGTCCTACTGGTCTTTCAGGTTGTTCCAGGACCTCAGGTTGTCCTACTGGTCTTTCAGGATGTTCTATATCCTGTGGATGTTTCAGATCTTCCCAGATGTTCTGTAGGTTTTCCATGTCCTCTTTGTTGTTCCATGTCAAATTGGTTTATCAAGGCTCTATGGGATGTTCCAGTTCTTCCATGTCCTCCTGGTTATTCTATGTCCTCCTGTTTATTCCATGTCCTATGAGTAGTTCCACATCCTCCAGATTGCTCTTCATGTTATTTCACGTGCACCATTTTATATTTTAGAGCTACAGTTTGCTGAGATGACATCAGGCTGGGAATCAGAGTTGTTGAGATTAAAGGTAGAATTTGAACAGGAAAAGAAGAAGGTGATTGAGGAAACCAAGAAAAAGCAATGGGTAAGCATGAGCTAAAGCATTCAGACTAAATCCTCGGAACTCAGTGGCAGCAACAGCCTCCTGAACAGGGGCTATAAATAAGGAGACATCGGTGAGTTGGAAATTCCAGTTCCAAGCTGGGGAAGCGCCATGGGGTGATGTCTGAAGGGGATTCTGAAAGGCTCAATTATTTGTTCATTAATTCCAGTGTGCTAAATGTGGTAAAGAAGCTATCTACTACTGCTGTTGGAACACCAGCTATTGTGCCTACTCCTGTCAACAAGCGCACTGGCCAGACCACATGGGTACCTGCATGCAGGCCCAGGCAGCAACTAGTCAAGCAGAAGTCACCAAAACCATCCAATCACAGCCTACAATACAAACAGTAACCAGTAGCAACAGCCAACAGAACTCTTCAATAATGAAGACCTCTACTAGTCAGTGGAATGACAATGCTGCGGAATCAGCTCAGGTCCAAAGAACGTTTAATTTAGCACCTCCAACAGAGACTAATGGCGTAAGTCTTTAAATTGGGCTTTTTATTTTGCTCTGATTAAAAATAACTAACTGTATGTCTGATTTTAATTTTGAAAAGGGATACAGGTGGTCAATATAGGTAATAATTGGAATATCTATCTTCAGGTTGATCAATGGAGGAATCGAGCCATGCCGTTTGGAAGCGAGAATCTTCCAATTCAAGCATCTCATCCTGTGGTCTTCTCGAAGCAAAATAATATTCTACCCAATCAACATCCACAGGTTAGAATTTTCAATCTTCCGCCATGTTTTTAGTATTCGTAGATAGTAGTATTAAATGTATTTGCTTACTTTTTGGCATTTTAGGATAAACGTCGTATAATACCTTGACATCATTAGGCACTTTTCTTGTTTGAAAGTTTTATGCAAATTTATCTCCCTTTAGTTGTGAGAGTTGAACAAGTAGCCAATCAAATGCCTAGTTAGAAAGCACAATTAAAGAAATGGTGTCTACAACGACAGACGAGAAATAGTTTTAGTGTAAAAATTCCATAATTCTAAACCACGTTCTAAATTCTCCTTTTCAGCATATCAGGATGGCGCCAATCAGCTTGCAGCCGTCACAGATTCTACCCCAAGGTGCCATCTTACCTAGTAACTCTATACTGTACCCTGTTCTCCGCCCACAACAGCCAATGGCCAATCAAAACCCTAATATGATGGGGCATAATCAACTTATTTTATCTCAGGCACCCCCGGGACAACCCATGCAGTTTTCTAGATTTCAAATGCAGAAAAAAAATTTCATATGATTAGATATTTGGCTATTTTTTGGGTGAATTTTGTTTTGCATTTCCAACTCCATGGCATTACAACGGATTGCTTAAAATTTACTCCTTTGGCAAATAATAATGCATTTGAAATTATGGTTTACTTTTTGGTGGGTTTTAATTTGCATTTCCAAATTTTCTGGGATTTTTCAAAGGATCTTGGCTTGGTGGCCAAAAGATCTGTTTCTGATATCACATTTTGAAATTATAAAAGAAGGGTTCCGTGATTTTGTTGAGCAGGGAGGTTATTTTTGCACTTCAAAGATGTGAAATTTTTAGAATATATTTAAAAATTGTATATAGGCAATGTACAAAAATTGACTTTCAGTTGTTGTAACCAGTTGGCCATTTTGTTTCACAAGAAAAAGATGAAAATTTTGTTAAAAGAATTTGTGTGCTCTATGAATATTTGGCTAATGATTTGATGTGACTGCCAATCATGTCTGATTGAAGGTACAAAATGTCCGATATCAATATAAGGCTTAGGCAGCTTTTGCTATGAATATCTAGCTGCAAAGGCTTTCCATCATTGCACACCACACAGGGATGTTCATTTCCAGTATGTGCAAGTAATATTTCATAATTCCAAGGATGTAAAACTCCATTTCATTTCAAAAGCAGTTAAGATATAAAAGAGTTTAATCTATATAAAAATGACAAGATAAAATGCTAAAAAATGGTGGAATGAAAGTTATTATCATAAAGCTTAGAATATAAGATTATACTGTGAACATCTGAAAAAACTTGATATAGTGGCATTTTTCAAATGGGGTAAAGAAATTACAAAATATATACATAAAAAAAAATATTATCCCCCATGGAAAGATATTTCATAGGTCTAAAATTCGGTTTTAAAAATTATCAAAACAAACCTTTCACAAAATTTGTATTTAGAGTTACTTTGTAATGAAGCGAATGATTTAATTTTTATGGACTTTTAAAATCCAAAATCAAAATATTAATTTAATATTTATGGAATGACATTTCAGCCTAGTAGCCTCCTGTAGGCATTTGCTTAAATTTCAACAGTTTGAGATATTTCAGGGCCTGGTTCTCCATAATACATCTGTTGCTCTGGTTGCTGGGTAGGAACAGTGACGGTGTAGGTGTCCGGGTAAGATTGTTGGTAGTTAAACTTGGTGTAGGGAACTTCTTCTTTGCGACCATAGTTTGGATCACGGAGCTGTTTGGAGCGAATGTCCTCAATATATCGGCAGGTTCTCAAAGCTTCCATCCAACCCAGGACTGCGGTCACCAAGGATATAGCTAAAAATAGAAATTTGAGATCGTATTAAAGGGACACAATCGGTTGGACCAATCGTACCTTAGTCAAACTCGGCACCAAAAAGGGCGTCTTCACAATGGTCAAGGTATTAGGAACTTTCGGTACTTACCAGCAGCACCAATAGCTATAAAGAAACCCCAGTCCATCTCTATACTCTCAGGAACTACTACTCCAGACAATCTATTAGGGTTGTTTAGTGGTAGATTCTTCCATTCACTCAAGCCATCGACCCCCAAAAATACAAACGCTGCCAGTACCACACCCAATACTAAACAGATGGCTGCAAAATAAAATACATTTTTTGCCATCTTATAGAAATGTAACGAACATTTTAAGCTATGTGGACTCTCTGAAAGGTAAGCTGAACAGTAGCCTACAGACCTGGATATGTCCCCCGTTCAAAAATTACCCCTCTATGCCTTTCTCCGCCATTTTGAATTCTGTCTACACCTACTTCCATGAATCAGAAACGTGCAGAACTTGCCAATCAAGTGACCCCTTTACTGACTTTTTTCGGCACAGGTGGCTAGTGTTCTGAACTTAATGCTTTAGTGAAACTACGGTTGATTCCATGTATCAGAACGAGCAGAAGTCACCACTAGAGCGCCCCCTATAAAAAACAGGCCATGGTTAAACTTACCTGAGATAGTGATAAAACTAGCTAAGAAAAATTGTCCAACCACTGAACCCAGTTTACGGCAGGACAAAATAAAACTGGCTACTGTACAAATACCAATTCCAACAGTGCCAGCAAAATACAATACTTGTCCGGCTATAATAGAGACTGAAAAATACAAAAATTCACATTTCAATCCTGTTCAGTGAGCGGCTTACAATATTAAAGGGATTGTGAAGAGATTTTTAAATTTAAATTAGTTAATGAACACAATCAAAATGGGATTGTTACTAAATATACGCTTAAGAGGAGCAAATCAAAATGTAAATGTTACTAAAAATAAACTTACGAGGAGCAAATCTGTGGTTGCTAATTTTAGACATGAAAATCATGTCTACGTAACCATCAGCAGACATGAAAAACAGTCCAGAATTAATGACAGTTAGTTCTGGTACTTCTTCTGTACCATATCGGGCATCTTCAGGACTGATCGTTATCTGGAACCAATATGGCACAAAACATGTAACTATGACAGCAATAGTGCCAAAGGTCAATACCAGACTGTTGATGGCTAACAATACGGAAGACCAATAATATCCCATCTTGGTGGACTACTGAAAATATAAGACGATTTTGAAATGAAATGAATAATCCTTAAGCCACATTTAGGGACATCTTTAGGGGGTGAAAGCCATTATAGTAGAGATCACATTTCATAACAGAACACAATATATCAACAGTAGGATATATCATAATATTGTGTTCCCTTATTTGAAACCAAAAGAAGTAGGCCCATGTTATTCCATTCTGCACCTTTTTGGGATAATGAGTATTTTAAGCTTACATAGATATTCATGAAATAAGAAATGCAGCTTTACATCCTATATTTTGTGTCTTCTGCACCTTATATTGTTAGCCAAAGAGAGATGAAAACCTTTTAAGCAATGAGTCAATTTTGGTTTTAGTTGATACAATTCCATATATTTCGAAATTCAAGCATCCCTTGGAACTAAATTCCCTAGCAAAATTCTTAGGGGTCACAAGCCACTCTATTACTCACGTAAATTTTCAAATTCCTTCAAATACCAAAATTCATAAACAACTGTCCGCCATGACAGTTAAAATTATTTAGGTCGGAAGTGGACAATGACACACCTGAAAGGTATGTCTACCTTAATGCAATCTCGGTTATCAAGTCTTTTCAGGTTTATTGAGCAGTTTTCAGTGATGTAGATTCACGAGGTAGGCTACTTAATCCAAAAAAAAAAGGCTGGACTTTTGCCTTGGATTGAATAAGGGGACTACCGGTATGTTTAGATTGATGAAGGGATATATAGTAATTTGCTACCAATGTGAGCTTAAGACTGGAATATTTTGGCTTTATAAAATTAACAAACCTAATAAATAGGGCTGTCTTATTCTAATATTAATTATTCTTAATTTAATTAGGACCCTTTTAGCACCTTGGTTGCTAATTAAATGCTTTGTAATTTTGAAAGGCGTCAAAAGAGATTAGCAATTAGACTAATGCTTCGGTGGATTAACGAGTAGTCCCGACTATCTGTGTCTTCCTTTGGAAAGAGGAGGGGTGGGGTGGATTTTGTGATCCACGAACAAGAAATTGTGAATATATATGCAATTGTTTATCTTCATATTTACACTTTCCGGTCAAGGTCGTTTGAACGTCTGAAATTCAAAATTGGCGGGAAAATATTATGATGGTTTTTTTTATTTGGCGGGAAATATTATTATTGAAAATGGGGAACTAGCGTTTGGTGAAGAATTTAGATGGAAAAGGCTAAGAATTGAGATCTCATCTGGCACAGGCTTCAGGTAGAAACATTTGGCAGTGAAATTCTGCTATTGGAAGGTAATTTTACAAACATACTTTCATGTACAGTAGCGAATTACAATTTTGAAGATCCAACATGGCGTCGAATGCTTCGATCAACGCTATATATTTCTTGATACTAAATATTGTTCTCGTGTCATTCCGAATCAATCGATATCGCTATGGTTAACTGTTGCAGGCCGTCGATGGGCTATAGGCGTACTGTAACCAAACCCATGGGCCTGTTCCTTGATTTAGGCTAGGCCTGTTAGTAAATAAGACGAAGGCGAAGGCCAAGTTTTCTACTAGACATACCCCAAATCCGCGATCGTGCTTTATTTATTCGATATTAAAAGGTTTTCATCGCAGAAAAAGGAAGAAAAATCACCAAAATTCATGACCAGGTAATAAGATATTTCATTTATCCTGTTTAAATGGGTCATATTTTGGGTTGACCTTGAAATGACCTCTAAGGTGCACATTTAACTTAAAGGCTTATTATATATATATTGCAACTTTTAGTACAACTTGATTTGCATTTGAAACACCAATGTCAAACCAAATTGCTTAAAACATAGCTGAAATGTACCCTTGGAAACAAAAAGCCATTTTAACAATAGTATCTGGAAAGCCATGACTACTAATCTAATTGTACTTTTTGATTGGTCTATTCAACTGTCAATCAATGATAATCTAGTCACGTGATCTAATACTAGACCATCTGTGTTTGTTTTGGTTTTTATACTGTCATTTGGACTCAAGCCATAGTATACTATTGACACACTAAAATATCTATTTAGAAGGACATACATATTTCGTTTGTTTACTTATATTTCACATTTTCCTTGTGAGAGGAAAGTAAGGAGAGCTATTTCACAATTTGAGGGTAAAATCTAGGATAGCTGAACCTCTAAAAAGGAGGAGAAACTTCTAAATTTAGGACAAAAAAACTTTCAAAATGTCTGTATCCATGTGTGCTGTATTTGGGATGATTTTTTCAGTGTTTGGTCTAGGACTGAATGTGCTGTCTATAGCTACCCCTCACTGGCTCCGTTCCAGGTATGTGGGGCATCACAAAGGACCCTCATACGACATTGGAATATTCCAGCATTGTGAAATAGAAGAGAAGTCTTGTGGAGGTTTAGATGGAATTCATACCATGATCAACCCTTCAGATATTGGTGAGTATCAGTTATACTTCTAATTTGGGAAGGGTTGAGAACCCTGACAATTGGGCTCCCTTTGTGGACCCTAAATTGTTTTTTATATATAACAAACTCTGTAAGTATCAGTGTGAAAATGTGGTAATTTGACCCAAACTCTTTGTAATGTTTAGGGAATTGATAGCTAAATTAAGTTACTAATTATATTATGGGGAGGGGTGGGGGGGAGAGGAGATTTCTGAGGTGGAACTTGAAAAATAAGGGGGAATCACTAGGGTGAAACTTAAGAATCTGAAAGGAAAAACCACTGGGGTGAAACTAGAAAAAGTAGGAGGCAAAATACCTGGTGCGAAACTTAAAAATTGGGCTAGGGGTATTAGGAGAGCGTATAAGACTTGTGCATAGTGGTTACCAACTCTTTCAGTTGATTTGGACTGATTAAGCCTACAGTAAGAAATGATGTAATTAAAGTGAATTGTTATAAAGATAAAAGATAATTGTAAAGATAATTGTAAAGATATTTAAAGATAAGAAAAGCAAGAAAGATATCTAGTGAAAGAGATAAAGATATCAACTTCTATTTGTGTCAGAACAAAAGAATTTTAAATCTGTATTTAACATTCATATGAACTTATTATTATTCGTTACTCTATCTGTATTTGGGGTCAAAAGGTCACGGTTTTTTTTGGCTTGGTTGTTTTTTTTGCGTCATGACATTGTTTCTTCTTGTATTTCACAAGTCTTTTTTTCATCTCATTAATTGTCCAGTGGGATTGGGACGTAGGTGTAGGATCTTTACTTGTAAGGCTGGTTTTGCCATCCATCCCATCTTGTTTGATGGATGTGACATACGCCTTTGTGGGTTATAATCAACTTGGTACCTAACCAAAATGGCCCCCTCTCATATTTTATATAGGTTTTTAAATCCAGTGTCATTTTGACAGGATTTACTTGCATTCTTTTGATTAGTAACAAACATTTACTCTTTAATATGATTCAAACCCATAGCACCGAATTCCCTTATATTGCTCACGGTGTTTAACAAGGGCCTAGTCTCTCAGATGAAGCAATAGGCCGGCTACTAAACGTTCAAGGCAAGAGGTAAACCGGATTATGGAAAAGTTGACTAGTTGTAAAAACTGAGTTATGTATTGTGAAATATATGGTAACAGCTTGATTGTTATTAGCAATATACACTTGTATGAATAAATAGGTTCATTGTATGATAACAGGATTGGGTAATTATAAATGAATGAATGAAATGGTGTCAATATCAATACAAATGATAACAAATATTTAAAAAAAAATAACAAGTTTTTTGGTATCAGTAACTAGAAAAAATGAGAGACTGAATAACCATTTGAAGATAACAATATGAAGATAACAATTATTAAAAAAAATAACAGTTTTTTGGTACCAGTAATTAAAAACATGAATGAATAAATAACAATTTGAAGACCATATATTATATACTAAAAGTTACTAGGGGATACCAAGACCAACTCTCGAAAACACTGACTGTGAAGAAATGAGTGAAATGGATTGTCTATAATGAATAAATGAATATCAATACTTCGTTATATAATAACAAGTTGGAATAATTAATAATGAATGATTAATTGGTAATGATGAATGAATGAATAACGTATGTTCATTTGATATATGGTCTTGTCTTGTAAAAATGGTTGAAAAGTTATTTAAAGAGAATCATCCACAAAACCATTTCCGCTCCGCTGTCAAAACCATTGATTTTACTGTCAGTTTAAAGAGTCTTTTATTTTTTTAAGATTGAAAGTTTTCCATTAAGGTCCATTAACATTGTGAGTAAAGATCTTTATAGAGACCATTTGAGTTATCTGAAGATTTTCAGATAAATTTGAAAACCAAGGAGTAATTTTTCGTATTATATAGAAGTGGCTCTTAAGTCCCCTTAATCAAGACTTAAATAGAAGAGATTAACCAGTTGTTACAAAAAAATGAACCTTTTTTAAGGCCATGGTTCGCCATTTGGAGGTTTATTGTACCTTAGTGTTTAGTCTCAGAAGTGCCCTTGAAGTAGCACAAATTTTTGTTGCCTAGTTTTAACTGCAAGGTGTCATTCTATGATGGTGCATTTCACCTGATTATCATATTTCATGACATGTACTTGCATGTATTTAAAGATGGGCTTCCTTATTTTTTAGTGTCAAATTAAGCGAACTATTTGATTATCAGTGGAATTCTGTAGGTAATTCTCTTCTAATTTAGCTAATTATGAATTAATTATGGACATGTGAGACGAACTTGTATTTTTCCAAGTCATTAAAACACCTCTACTTTCTATTCATATAAATATTAGCATTTTCATTTTCATAAATGAAAATAAGGGCACCCATCTTTATTTCATTGGTTTGACCATTCTTCATTGACCTCAAAATATTGGATTAATGTTGCTCTCTTGAGCAGGGCACAGAACTTGATCTTTCAAGATTGTGTCTGACTATATATGACTCTCCTCTTTTTCTTATTTTTGTTTCAAAAGCTAAAAAGGCCGAAATTCGATGCCAATGGCGGAATCTGATAGATGAAGAGATTTGCCGCCAAAATTGACAATTAAGCATGAAATTATAATCGTAAAAAATCAAACTTGTATTCAAATGGGACAAGTTGGACATTAACTTCAAAGCTAGCGTATTGATTTTACAATTGAGGGAAATGAGGCAAAAACACAACCTTATTACATTGATTTAGATTAGAGATTATTGTTTGTATGATTGCTTTGGTAGACATATTTATATTATACCGTGTTTCGCTTCAGCGAAATGTTTTTTCAATGCTGATATGGGAAAAGTGTCTGGTCGTTCAGGGATAATAAACTGAGGCCCCGTGTGCTACAGTTTGAAATTGGAAAAGAATAGGCTAATGCGGCTCTCTGGCAAAATTTCCCTCATTGAGCATTCTATGGAGTTGTCTATCTTCATTAGCCCAATCATCAAACGAAAAAAGTTTACATGTTTCATCCATAGAAATGGGGATAGTGTTTCGTGTAAGCTTTTATGATGAACCTGCTGAAATACTTTAATTGTAAGAGAACAGAATTTCAGATTTTGATTCTGAAAAATGCTAAGGATAACTAAATTTAAGCTCTTATCAGCTGATAATTTGAATATTTTAACAACTGATTCCCTTTAAGGTAGAAAAAGATTAAGTTTATAATATTTAATCAGCCATCAGCCCCTCAGGCCAGTCAATAATTAGAGATAGTTAAGGGATGAACCCTAGGGGCTAGAAGTTATATAGAAAATACCCTTGTTATTATATATTATATAGCAGTATTAGGTATTATTCAGGTACATCAAAGGCCACCCTTCGGCTAGACTATAGGGCCTCATTAAATAAAATAATATGGAGTTTTATGTGTAATTTGCACCATAGTGTGTTGTTGAAGATGGGTGACACCATGCAGTGTATAGTGAGGAAAATTGTATTAAAATTTTGATGTAACTAGGCCCTTAGAACCTCAGTTAATATTTTCAGTAAATTTTGCAATTAGTGACATCATCAAAAGCCTAGTTTAAGTGAAATTGCAAGAACCACAGGCATCTGATTGAAAATTAAAATAGTGCAAATTGATACTATCAGTGTCCCTGATACACATAAAAAATTTAGAAAATCTCTTTACAATCCCTTTAAATCACAAAATCCAATATTGCCAACCCCCAGCTTGAGGTTAGTGACATTTTTTCAATCTAAGATGTAAGCTGTAAAGTGGAAAGTTTTTCTAGTGAAATTGGCTTTGATCACATGTTATCAAAGTACAGATAAAGACAACCCATAGATCTTATCGCATGTTCAGTTCCAATAAAAACCTGTGTACATTGAGTAGAGACATAAATCAGACACTGCTCTGAAATTTAAAGGGATTGTAAAGAGGTTTACTACCTTTTTCATGTGTATGTCTTCTTAGATATTATTAACTGCTTTTGCGTTAGTGATGCCATAAAATGCTTATTTTTAGTGGAATTGCAGGAACCACAGACATCTGATTGAAAATTAGGATGGTGTAACTTTATGCTATTAGTGTCCCTGATACATATAAAATTTGTCTAAAACCTCTTCACAATCCCTTTAATGCTCTTATAAGACAAAGGATTGAAAATGAAGGAGAGTTTTACATCCAACTTTTCTGCCTCCTTGTGGAAGAGTAATCATAATACCATACAGTGTGCAATGTAGGAAACTATGTGTCACCGAAAAACTTGACATTGAATTGCACCACCCATTTTTTTTTTTGGTTGTCCTGATGAGAAGTATATATCTAAAACTCTAGTTTGCAGCATGTAAAAATATATGAATGACTTATTCAAAGCTAATCGTGAGTAATTCATCATCTGTTTCAATCAGAAGACCTAAGATGGCCGACTGATATATATGTATTGAAGCCAATAGAAGTGTAATTATAAGGCTTTGTCTGGGACCTGAATATGATTTATTAATGGCATTAAACAGGCCTTGTTCAATCGAGACAGAGAGTTGTTAGGCGAAACACCCCCTTCCTTTCCATTCAAATTCTTGTGATAAGGCAACTTTGTCAGCAGCATCAAGTCTGGTTGGGAATGAAAGGAATTTGGCATCAAATTTTCACGGGAAAACATTGCTTCGGACTGTAGCACAGACAGTGAGGGTGTTGGAATCTTCTTTTGACATCATTGACTTGGTTACATGGAACAAATGTTGGACATGGGTTATAATATCATTTTGGGTGGCCCTCAGTTGGCCTTGAATAAGTCATCTTTCCTCATTATTCCAGTTGACAGAGCTGTAAATGGGTACAGATAATCCAGGAAAGATTGAATCTAAGTTGTAAAAAATGTACAATTGTCTATTCCATTGGCGTCTACCTCAACGGTTTACATGACCACAAAGTAAACAAAAAACTCATATTTGACCTAAGGCCATCAGTTATATTTGATATAAACATATCTATAATTAACATATTGATATCCTAGAGATAAATTTGGTCTAATTAACTTGGTAATAGGAAGAACTTGTGGTCTGAATCCTCTTATATAATTGTATAACTGATAAATAATGTATATGGATTACTTATTGGCATATTAGCACAAATATTGTTTTAGTAGGGGAGAGTTGTTAAGTTGGGGGTGGGGGTTGAATATCTTGTTTCAAGAAAGATTTTGTGTTATGGTACCCCAAAAAATACTTATTACAAAATCATTTGATTCATGTATTTTTAAGATATTTCCACCCCAAAAATTGAAGTTATTTTAGCAATGATCATTGATACTTTTATTCTCTCATCATTAATTAACTTGTTTGACCCAGGCCAGTGCTTTTGTGTTCATAAAACGCCTAATTTAGAATACCAACATAGTGTTCAAGATATTTGCAAAGGCTGTTCGAAACACATTACAATTTCACTGCATTTTTTTGTTTACATAACTATGTAAAACTGATTGTGGTGGCTTCATAATCCTCCCACCCCCTCTGAGCCCCCCACCTCACCCTGTTTTCTACGCCCAGTAAACGTGAACAGACAAAAGAAATATGTACAGGGTGTGGTCTAGGTAGTGTCAATTTAACAATATCATAAGAAGATTTTCTCTCATCTCCTGGCCTTGATTTTACTAGACTAGAGCACATAACACAGAGAAAATGTTAACGAAATAGAATTTGATACTAGAGAGTAAATAGGTTTGTCAACAAGCTGTGAAATACAGGATTAATTGGTATTGTAGTCTACAATAACATATGATTATCACCCTATTAAATAATACTGTTTCATTTTACATAGCTATATTTAGAGAGTAATTGGGGTGAAAACCAGTTGGACTTACTCTCGAAAGCACTAGCACAGGCATCAGAAATTTAGGGGGTGAGACGCCTGGCCCACTCTTGAATGCACTGACATGGGCATCAGAATTTTTCTTACCTTAAGAAAATACAAGTATTGCCAACACCAGGCCCACTCTCAACAACACTTTTTTTATGTGTCTTATACCTTGACTTCATTGGGTTCTTTTCTTGTATCATTTAAGTTAATAAATGTAGTGTTTTGATTGGATGGTATGCTAGAGAAACAGAGCCCTGGACAGAAAGTTTGTGAACCATAAGCCATGATGCTTATACAGTCTTTATGTAGAGAGCTCTGATTGGCTGTACGCTTACAATTGTAAGAATTATGATTAAAAATAGTCAAATTATCAAATTTGTGTTGGACATTTAAGAACTTCATTCAGACATAACTGGAAAATAGTATTGAATAGAACAATGATAATATAGCTTTCATAACAGACGGCAATTGTGTATTGGGAAATGTTTGGAACTGCTAATGTCATTTTCTTGTTCTATAGAAAATTACTTCCTAATTTGGGCATTATCTAATCCTTAAGTTACAAGAACAGTCTTTTAGAAACTTGTCAGGAATATTAGATTATGTTTTCATTGCCGCGAAATTGGAGAAAACTTCAAAGGTTTGGTAATTGAGTTAGATTATTCACAATGGATTCTGTTGCAGAATGAAGTATATTTTAACATATTTTTGGCGGTAATTAAATTACTTTGAAATAATGCAGAAGTATAGGTTTGCAGAGTGGTTTCTCTTGCTGTTTTGCCGTGTTTGTGATTTTGGTAGACGGTACTGGCTTTAACATGCAGAGGGGCTCTGTAATGCAGTCAGCTAGAGCTTTGGAAACTTTACATTACGTCATTTGCTTGGTTAATGTCATGGGTTTTAATCTCAGTCAGTGTGTGAAAGTCTGTTGACTTTGAATAAGTCATCTTTCCTCATTATTCCAGTCAACCCAGCTGTAAATGGGTCTAGATAATCTGGGAAAGATCAATGGCAAGAGGTTTGGTCAAGAGCCAGTTTGTAGACATGAACTTGAGTTGTTATCCTTGTAAAAATTGGTTGTTTCTTTCGTTATGATACGAGAGCTGTGTGCTGCTTATTTTCATTTGAATATTTCAGAAGTAGGATGTAACTTAGATCTTTGTTCTGATAAAATTTCCCTCACGACACGCTGTAAGGCATTATAAAGGATGTAAAACTCTATTTCATATTTCATAGCTTTGTTTATCCATGGACAATGCATAAATTCTTTTGACAGTTTATTTTATGTTGATTTATGCTTGTTTATGTCGTGGACAATGTCAAAAACAAATAAAAAACAACACCACTTGATTAATGTCACTCCCATGACCAAACTGAAAAAAATGAAACGATATTGACGTCACTAGCTGTCAATTTTATACATAATTAATTAGTGTTAATACATTCAATTTGTGTCGACATGCCATCTATGTGTCATCTACTTGTCACAATTAAAAAAAAGGGGGAAGAAAAGGGGTGACACGCATATAAATGAGGACTTTTGTGACAGCTATATCTGGCTTTTTCTTGCTTGTCATGCATTTTATTTTAGAAGACTGAGAACTTGGGGCCTGAAGACTAAGGGGTGCAGACGCCTGAATTTGGGCAATTGTTGAAAACATTTTGAACAAAACATGATACAATTTTTTAGGGGCAAAAAAGTTTTGGACCGCCCTGCTGTGGAATATGATATTGATATTGAGGCATTAACCAATCAAATGACTGGAGAATTAAAATTATGAAAAAAACCCAAAATTTTCATATTGGTTTAATAGATATGGGTATTTTTTTTAACGCTTATCTTAAATGATGACTCTGATAACAGGTCCCTGGATAATATTTCTTATTTCGATATCCAGTTTTACGTTATATATTGGACGTATATAATCTAGTTGATTATTAGCCACATAATAAAGACATCCCGCTCGCTAATCATGTGTATACGGAATGATGAAAATAATTGGACGAGGAAATTGTCAGCGATCATCAATATACTCTATTGTCCAGTCATAATAGTGTCTGTCTTGAGAATAGAGGCTACTATGTAAGGGTCAATCAATATAATGGCCTGATATTAGCGACTACTACGAAAGGGTCAATCAATGAAGGGTCTTGACAATAGAGTCTTAAATTGGAGGTCAGTCTATGAGTTGACAATAGGGACATATTGGAGGTCAAGCTGTGTGTCTTGACAATAGAGACTATATTAAAGGAGAACAATCATTGACATTCGAGAAGAGTTGCTGAGAGTCTGGACGAACTAAAATGAAATTTCTGGACGTTGATTTTATGATGAGAGGAGATAATAGATTTGTGGGATTAAACGGGAAATAAGATGGCCAATTTTCTCGCAGTTGATTAGATATATTAATCATTGGTGATCATTTGTCCTCTGATAAATATGAAATGAATGAATGAATGATAGATATGGAATGAATGAATGAATATTGGGGATCATTTTGCCTTCTGATAGTTGATTAATGCCTGAATGAATGAATGAATGTATAACAGAAAAAATGAATGAATGCTACAGTTGATTAGATATATTAATCATTGGGGATGGATGATGGAATGTATGGATGAATGATTGACAGTTTCAGATTAACTTAGTAAACAGATGGACAAATCACAGAATGAATGAATGAATGAATGAAAAAGGAGTAGATGAATGGATAACAAATTGGAAAAATAAATTACTGAAAAAAGAAATAAAATGAATGAATGAATAAAAATTCAAAGAGTAATATTATAACAGATGATCCCTTAGATAAAGATTAGAAAGATAATAAGACACAAAAAGGAATGAATGACCACTAATGAATGAATGAAGGAGTTAATGAATGAATGAATCTCACATGGAGTATCCTAAAGATGAACCTTACCAGTGAATGAGGTTTAACGAAGGTTAGTTAAGAAATTCCCAACTGATTACTGAGTCTCTGTCAAGGATTGTAAACACCGTCGTTTATCCTTCCATAGTTGTCAGCTCTTTGAGTTATGACCGTTTGGTGCCATAAGTATTCTGATTTAGTCTTGGAGAATCGCATGAGAATTGCTCTATGAGTTCTTAAGAATTCTGATTAGATTCCAAAGGAATGAATGAAGTATCTAAAAGGAAGACGGGAATGGATTAAGACGCGTCTATTCCCGAGACTCTGCCATATATAGAACAGAGATCTATAGAAATAAGAAAATAAACTCTTAGTTTGAGGTATATTTGAAGGGAGTTTGGGTTGTCCTGATGAGGATTTTGTATCTGAAACACTGATTTCTTTGTTCAACAACTCATAATGTTATTCCCCATTTTCAAAATCCTCCTGATGAGGATTATATATCAGAAGCACTAGTAAATTAATATACTCAGAATATGTCATATATAGCTAGAGGCATGTTCTGATTTCTGCTTCAGTAGTGATGCCATTCAGTCAGAAAATAAATTCCTGATTATGAATATTAGTCTTGAGACAATTTGAATTAAATCTTGAGGAAATGTCAGGCAGTGAGATTATTGTTTGGAATTGGTTATCTTGGGAATTGAAACTTTAGTGTATCAAATTCTTATCTCATTTGAAACATAAGAAAGACTATTATTTTTAGTCCTAGATTACAAAAAAAACTGGTCAAAAAAAAGCAACAAGCACTTGTAAGAATCGATACGTAGAAAAAAAAGAAAAAATCTCTGCTAATTTATGTTTTTAATTTTCCATTTGGATGAATTCTGACATTTTTGATTTTGATTTGTTAAGATTTCATGATTTAAGATCAAAGCCTCTTGTAGTAATAGATTTCTTCTGAGAAGGGTCAAATTTGATATGTTTCTATTTTATGGTATTTCATTCTCTATTTCAGCATGGTTCAGTGTAATTCAAGCTACATTTATCTTGTCTGTCATTGGTTGTTTACTCTCCACAGTAATGGCGATTTTCTTCCTCATCAAAATATTCGACACGTCAAAAAGTGGATATAAATTAATATCTGTTACACAATTACTAACTTGTAAGTATAATCTCTTGTTGCTTACTTTACTCTGAAGCAATAAGTTCAATTTTGGATAGATAACACCCATCGGCAGTAGCTCAGTGAGTTAAATTGTCGTCTGCTGGGTTCGAATCCTCCTCAAGATTAGAAAAAGTACTTCTTAGATTTGGTCTGATGTCCATTTCGCCTTTTAATAACTATTTTTCGAAACCAGGTGGACTGATGAGGCTCTCATATCTCAAGCAAGTGTCTGCAGTATAAGATGAGCTCTTATCAATGTGATTTAGTGTGTGGGTAAAAAAGGAGTTTTATGGCGGGAAAGGCTGGTTACTATGGAAAAAAGTATATTTTTCTTAATGAGTCTGCCCTTTCTAAAGGCTCTTTTGGACTTATTTACTAAAATTCTTCTGTTTTTATTTCAGTAACTTCACAGCTGATTGCTCTTACCTTATTTGGAATGGACTGTGTAGACATGTTTGCATTCGATGGTCACGTGGTACAGCTGTCCTGGGCTTATTACTGTGCTGCTGTGGCTTGTGGGTTCATTTTCCTCAGTAGTATCATGCACGCCATGGAGGCTAGCCGAGCTGTCGAGGTTATCAAGAATGTTCATCACAGGCTGGCTGGTTTGACTTCGAACTATACTTTATTTGTCGATCAAGATCCTTAAATCTTCTATGTCTTATAAATCTTTTATGTTGGTTTTGTTTTTGAATTAGTTTTTTTGATGGATTCCAAAATCTACATGCCTGAATTTGACGAGGAAATTAAGTAGAATAAGAACAAGGAACAAGCTTGGAAAGCTAGAGTTGGGATTTGGGTTGGGGGCTTTAGAAAACCGGTTGGTCCGAGGGCCAAGAGCAGCTCAGTCTGCCCTTAGTCTATAAATAGATTTCTGGAGATTTCAAAAACTAATTCAAAACAAACCTTATTTGGTTATTGCTCAGTGCATTGAAAAAAGCAAATTTTTGCCTTATGAAAAGCTCTACCAAATACATATCTTTTTTATTTTGTTTATGTTATGTATAAAAGGGAGGGGGAGGGGGGGGGTGCCAGGGGTGGGGAGGATGAGATTAGGGTATGATATTTGGGGGCAATACCTATGTATTTACAGCATTCAACATTTGTACATTCTTAGAATTTTTCTGGCTGATTTTCAGCATCACTTTTAAGCATATAATCTCTGGGCCGCGTTCCCTAAAAAAAAACTTCTGATCAATTCAAAATTTGAGTATTTATTTTGGAATGAGGCCCTCCCATAATAACTGAAAATATTTAGCCATCGAAAAAATTTCCAAATTGCCATTTTGGGTTCGTCATAGGTCAAATTTGGATACTGTAAAGTGTTAACCAAGTAAAAAATATTGCAGCTAAATTAATATAGAATGATTAATTATATTAAATGTATATTAGAAGGTCATGGCTGACGGAAAATCTTAATGCTTATGTCCCTCTGTTGACACCTAATTCATGTCAAAATGCAAACATAACAAAATGTTACACAAATTTGTTTTAATGACAGGCTTATTAATTTGGCGTGGGATTTTAATGGAGTCGACAAAATTTATTGTAACTTAAAGGGATTGTAAAGAGGTTTTCTTAATTTTGTATGTGTATTGGGGACATTGATAGCATTGATTTGCACCATTCTAATTTTCAAAAAGACGTCTGTGATTCCTGTAACTATAGAAATGGTCAACCGTATGACATCACTATTGTAAAAGCTGTTAATAACTTATTAGCACTCTAGTGACGTCATAGAATGCTTAGTTTAAGGGGCATTACAGGAACCACAGATGTCTGATTGAAAATTTAAATGGTGTAAATTGATGATATCCGTGTCTCTGATGCACATAAAAAAATTAGAAAAATTCTTTACAATCCCTTTAAGTGCAGATCAACAAATGCTAATAATTTATTCCTTTTAATAAAAGTTAATTTTAGAAGTTGACACATAAAAGTCATCTTTTAATTACTTTGTGCTCACAATACCAAAGTCACCTTTATTTAATTCATGTGTTATTCATGTGTCATTCATGTGTTATTCGATGTCATGATTTGTGTGCATGTTTATATAGCTTGTTTCTTGGACGTAATGACTCGGCAAAAATTAGAAAAATTTATGAAAAAACTAAGGGAGCGTAACAACTCTACCTGTTAAATAACAATTCAACTAAACAGGCTGTATCAGTTTCACACAAAAACTCTTATGAAATTTTGATCTTAGATAATGCTTGGATGCAAAATAACCACATTTCCCTCATTGCACACTTAACTACTTTGATCTCTAGGGGAAAAGTGTCTTTTAATAATAAAGAACTTTTGTTAATTAAATAATTGCTTTTAATGCCTGCCATGTTGCAGTTTTTAATTTGTAAAGAGATTATTTAAAACTTTATCTGTATCAGGGACACTGATGGCATCGATTTGCATCATTCCAATTTTCAATCAGATGTCTGTGGTTCCTGCAATTCCACCAAAACTTAGTTTTTGATGACGTCAGTAATTGTGAAGGGCTTTGTTTGATAAAGCATACTTTGCGATTAGTGATGTCATCCAATACTCAGTATAAGTGAAATTGCAGGAACCACAGACATCTGAAAATTGGAATGGTGCAAATTGATGATATCAGTGTCCCTGATACACATAATGATCTAGAAAACCTAATCACAGTCCCTTTAATGCCTGTCATATTGGGGTTTTATATATAGTTTCAAGTTAAGATAAACGTATTAAAGTGCTCTAGGTGAACTCAAAGTCATAGCTATCATTTAGAGTACATTGACCTCAAATAAAACTTTTATATCTTTTACACTGCAGACGTCTTATATCATCTTGAGGCTTTCATTCATCTTCTCTGAACTCTGACCTATAGTTATATTCAAAGGGGCATAACTCTTGATAAAATCCTAAGATTTGCGCATTCGCTTCCCTTGAATGAATTCTAAATTTGTCCTCAAAATTTCTAGAATATTTTAAGTGTGTTATTACAAAAGTCAACACTTTAAGGCATTTGATTGAGCAATTTCATGAAACTTTTAACCAATTATGCCAAAATTCTGCATTAACAGTTGTCAGATATGTAAATTTATGCAGCTTTTGGTGTAATATGTTGTGAAAATGCTTTGTGCTTAGGATATAAGAAATAAACTTTCAGTCATTGTAGTCCCATGTAAATATTATTCATTTATTTAATTGTATATTAATCTTATGCATGTATTTGTTAATTGAAAAAAGAATATCAAAAAGGAATATTAACGTTTCTGATTTTTATCATATTTGAATGAATGTTTGTAAATGATGTATGTTGTATGCGTAAATAAATGTTTTAAAATTGTAAATATTCATTTTATGTCTTGTAAATAAAGAAATATAAAGTGTATTTGAGTTATCAATGGTTTTTTTAAATGGACCTGTGTTGTGTTCACTTTAAACAACACTGCATCATGGGATTTGTTTATTGAATATTTGTCCAATCAATGCAAAGCTGATAAGGACGTCTTCCTTTCAATATGAAGCACCCTTAAGGCCGGCCTGTTCTCCAAAAGATTTCTGTATCGTTCATTTAAACCTTTCAATTCTCCACCAGTTTCTAGGCTATGGGTGAGAAATTTCACCATGCCCTTTGCCTTAAAGCTTTTGTCCTACCCCCCTTCATCCTTGCTTCCAAACAAATTTCTAGTCCTTGAGAAAATGGACAGTACTTTTATAAAATAATAATTTATTCATTCATTCATTCTAAAGAATTTTGACATCAACAACAATACCCTTCACAATAATCTCTTAATTACATAAAAATTTGATCCAGCCAGATAAATCTTTTGCCACATTTTGACAAGCTTTAAAGCTATCATGCTGTCCCAAAAAAAAAACCAGACTGAAATTTCAGGTTAGGTTAAGGATCATCTGAATTGATCTTGATCCTTAAGTTTTATAATTGAATAAGATAAGGATAACAAATTGTTACAAGATTCATGTGGAATTAATAACAATGACCAAGGAGCAGCTGAAAGGATAACATTCTAAGGATAACAAATGACTGGTTAAAGATCCATATGGGATTAATAACAATGAACCAGTTGTTATTAAGAGGTTTGGACAAGGATCATATCCTAAGTTGTTATCCTTGAATACTGTGGATCACAAATTACTTTTATGAAAAGATCAATAACAAATATTTGCAGAATAATAACAAATATTGGCAGATTGATAACAAATATTGGCATATGATCTTCAGAGATTATTTTCAAATTGAATACAAGTCAAGAAAGCTCGGAATGGCTTCAAGTAAAATATTTCCATACTAAATACATGACTATACAGGTGATTATCATTCCTGCAAATAAAATAATACGGTCTTGACTAGTTCTCTTTTCAATCATTCGCATCACTGTGTTTGACAGTCCTAGAGTGTTCGCAATGTCTAAAACTTTCTTGTGCACTCCTTTTAACGTAAATCTCTGTTCCCGAAGATTTTGGAGAACTCCTGTGCCTGAGCCAATCAAATCGTCCATGCCACGGTTGGCGTTTTGTAAACTGGTGTGATGCTGTAAGGAAGCATCTATCATAATGGAAGTGTCCGCATCGTTGGTGGTAAAACTTCGTGATAATAACGCTTCTCTTTGAGCATCTTCTTCTTCCCGTAAATATCTGAAATATACAAGGGAGATAACTTTTATGAACTGGGTTTTCTGGAAGATCTACCAAATCACACCTATTTTAAGTTTTAGTGTCGTATAGTTGCAGAAATTGGTACAATAAGCTAGGATCTACCAAGAAATGCTCTGTCTTTGTGCTATTATGGGATTTGTATTGATACCTTACAAGCTTTGGCTTAAGTTTCAATTCTTTTTACAGATCACCATCCTTTGTTCTCTAGGGTCAGTTAGAGCAAGAGGATTCAATCCAGTTGTCACTGTACCTTTTGTGTTGTATTTGTCTCAAAGCACTCTGTAAATGTTGGCAGTCGTATTTCAGCTGGTCCACACGTAATTTAGCATTGGCACGTCTGGTGGCTGGTTCTTTATTCACTAATATTTCAAGTCTTTCACAATTACTGATAATATGATCCAGATGAGCTTGTACTTCGTTTTCAACCAGATGGACATCATCCCCGGTGGCTCTTTCAAGTCGGCCTAAATCGGTCTGGATTTCTTGTACCAGACGATTCGTTTGGTGATAGAGCGACTCCATGATCACCCAATTATGAATCCCAATTAATCAACCTCGTAGATATAATCTTATCTAGAAATCAAAGCTCAATATGTCAAAGTTTTGCTAAAAGCTTCGCTCTCGACGTGTCTGTCAGTATCTACTTCCGGTTTACATATTACGCCCACTTTTTGCCGAAAATGAGTAAGTCGTAAAATTGCAAACTTTTTAAAATGACTATATTTTGAGAATTTTTATCATCAAGTATATCTGATTTTTCATCATTATTGCCCACAATCCTCATTTAATGGTGTTTTCCATGAATTTAAAGTTAAAGTTCAAGATTTAAATTTACGACAATACCCAGCAAGTCGAGTGACAACAAACAATACGTCAAATTATGAAACTGAAAGTAAGTAAAATTGTCAATTAAGAATATAGGATTAGTAGCATTTGATGCCCCGTGTCATAAGGTCGTCGTAAAATTGTAATTTCTTTGGCAGCAGACTAGACATTAGGAATCCGTCCTGAATTTCAATGTTATGAACTGTGTTGTTGAATGAAGTGTGAAGTAACATTGCACTTTGATATCCTTTGATGTCAGACCCCGCCCAGGACCCAGGGTGCTACCTCTTTCTTCAAATAAGTCATTTGCTTCTAGTCAAATAAGAAAGTGAACCCCTTCTTGAATTTTTTACTAAAATTGTTATTTTTTAATTTTAGATGCATTTGATGATGCAAGCAATGAAATGAGCACATAAAGAATAGAATCCCTATGTCTTAGAAATGTAGTATTTAGAACTGGGCATTAAGGCGTGTAATACAACAAAATGGGTAGGCCTAGGCGTGCCAATCATGGGTTATTTATAAATGGTTTGAGATGTGATATTCCATCAGGCGAGCTAAAAGAATTCCTTTTTGACTTGCTAGATGACCTTAACATTCCAATAAAGAAAAGCTACATAAAAATTTTACCACAAAAGGACAAGAAAATTGCATTTGTGGATTTGATGAATGAAGGAAACACTGCCGAGGCCTTGAAGCATTTGGGCAGCGAAAAAAAAAGAAACCGTCTTGCTGTGGACTTTGATTTTTATGCAAATGATAATGATTTTTGCATCAGGAGAATCAATCCAAACTACGGAGCGGATTCAGATATCAGATTTGGTAACAATAATAATGGTTTGAAAGCAGAACATGGCAGCAGCTCAAATATATATCATGGCGTCTCAGCACAAAGCATTCCAGAAAGCAACAGAGGAAATGCGAGATTGATCACAATAGATAAAGGCATTTCTGTCCAAAGTTTTGCTGCAAGACCCACAAACAAAGATGTCATGTTCATGAAAGGAAAGCCTTTGGATGCTGCTACTTCAGTTTCTGGTGAGTTCAATGTTTTTTGTATGGAAAGAAGACAACATGGACAGCAGCTCTCCAGCCAAATGTCCATTTAGTTCCTGGAATTTGAAAAGTCTTTGTCATTGAAGCTGACTCCTTTGGATTTCTACCAGATAGTCTTGCTACAACTCTTAGCATTGATCTTTCTTAGTTTATCCTTACAGTACCCATTAACAGTTGGGACCATCTGGTCCTTGGCCACAATTCTTAGCATTGATGATCTGTACCCATTTTACAGCTTGGTAGACTGGAAAATGGAAGAGAATTTTACTGATTGTTTTTTCTTTTAACTGTTTCAGGCCTGATGCCAGTTGTGCAAAGAAAATTCTACCATTACAATGAGATCCTTGGTAGTGAAACCAGAGTTGTGGAATTCAAGGAAGGAAAAGGAAATTACAAGAACAAAACTCTTGGCGAACATGTGGGAATGTATGTTTGTGGGTTTGCGAACACTCAAGAAGGTGGTACTTTATTTATGGGTGTGACTGACAGGGGTAAGTATTCAGTTGACTTATGATTCTGCACACCAGTTGTCAAATTATCATTCTTATAAGTGATACAGGTGGCTGTGAAGATTGAATGGAATAAAATTACAGAAACCACATCGGAGGAAAAAATTAAATGGTGCAATATGAAGCTATCAGTGACTCTGATACACAATAGAATTTTAGAAAACCACATAACTACCCCTTTAAATCTCACTGTGTTATTTAGTTACTTAGTCCTGTGCCTGTGCTTTCGTAAGTTACAAGACCCCCCTAACCTTTCTGTCTGTTTTAGGACAGGCTCAAGGGATTACATGTAATCATGCTGAAGAGGATCAGATAAGACTGAGAATTGACGAGGCTGTTAAATCTATTGAACCACCCATTCTTCCCAATATGTATTCTGTTGCTTTTTCGCCAGTACTTTGCACTGGAACGTTTTCAGGTATGCTTAATCTATATTTGGGTGAACAAAGGGGTTTGAAGCTGTTTTTGGAAACAGTGGTGTGGGTTCAGAAATTTGTTCCTTCCTCATATTTTCAGACGACTCAACTGTGAACTGGCTGTAATTCAGTTGGTTATAGCTTTAGAATCTTGACATGAAGTCAATGTCCTGTTTAGTCTCTTCAAACAAATGATGGTAATGGGTTCTAATCTCGGTTGATATGTTAAATTTGGTTGACCTTATATTAGTTATCATTCCTCATTAATCAAGTCTACCAGACTACCAGTATAGATAATTTCGGAGCTTCATCGCCAAGAGTTGAAGTAAATTCCCAAATCATTGTGGTTTGATTGTGTATGTCAGATTATTTTTTGTGATTTTGTTAACTTTAATTTTCAGATAATCTAAAAGTAATAGAAGTATGTGTACATCCTGGAGAGTCCCATGAAGAACTGTATGAATTCCAAGGTAAAGTTTATGTACGAAGAGATGGAAGTGTACAGAACTTTAAACTGAAAGACATTAAAGAATGGGCCAGACAGGTCAGTTTTTATTGGATTCAAATTAATTAAAGGGATTGTAAAGAGGTTTTCTAAACTTTTTATATGTATTTGGGACACTGATGGCATCGATTTGCACCATTTCAATTTTCAATCAGACGTCTGACATAGCTATCATAAAAGCTCTTAGATATTTCAAGTTTTTTTTTTTTTGGTAATGTTTGGCCATTTTAAAGCTAGGTCATGTGTACCTCATTGAATTTGTCTGATTTCTGATTTGAGCTTATTGCGATTTGGATGACTTCTTGTCATATTTTTCAGAAAGCAGCCAAGGAACGTGCTCTGAGCAGTTCCATTGAACAGCAACTAGACGTGGTCACACTCCAGCTACAAGAGATTCAAACCCATATACAAAACAATCCGCGCTCCAAAAAAAAGAAATCTAAGACTTGTGCCATCTTGTAAACTTGCTAAAACACCTAAAATTAAAACCATGTTCCCTTCTCAATAAATAAATGGGACTCTAATTCACTTTATCTAAAGAGCTTCATATAAAGCACTGCATTTGAACAAATGAAAATAACTTTTTAGTTGCTTGCACTCATATATTATTCACTAGTTTAGTGTGTGCTTATAATTACAAAACAAAATCTAAGAATTGCCATATTTAAGTGATTTGATAGGCCGTTTTGAAAATCATGTGACATTATGTATAGGTTGATGGTTGAAAGCTTGTTAATAAGTTTGATAATGATCGCTGGATGAGGACTGAAGATCCGAGTACTATGTCATTAATAGATGTAAGACCATTAACCAACTTAAAATACAATTCATAAACAATAACATCTACTCAGGCTACTTTATGGATTTTAGAGGGCGCCATTGGTGATGGGGGTCAGGGGGGGCCGCCCTTTTCTAATCTTGGAAGGCGGTGAATACATCTTACGCAATTTTTTAAGTATTTTTCATTTTCTATGGCATAAATATCACATCAACGTATATATATATTGTCTGAGCAAATCAAAAAGGTTTTAAAAATTTTTCGATATTTTTAAGAGAATTGGAATTACAGACTCAGTACTGATAGTTGTAAAATGTCTTTGTGTTGATAAAAATATAATCTTTTGTAAGTTTACAATGAAGAGGCTCATTCTCTCATAGAAATTTCAACCCAAAAAGTCACAAAAATTGGCTGAAAATTGTCCTCAAAGACATAACGTGTACTCATGCTTATATAAGACTGACCAATTCTTATAAAAATAATACGAAAAATTCAAAAACCTTTTTGATTTTCTCAGTTAATAGTGTTCACATACTATTTGAAACCATGTCAATCATGAATACATTTATAAAACAGGTCACATTTACTTGGCAAAAGACCAAGAGTCCAATATTTGGAGTCCATGAATGATGTCAATATTGTTGGATAATGATACACTCAGATCAATGGGTGACTTCACATCTGTATTTTAAGAATACATACATGTCCAAAATATAATTGAGGCTAATTAAAGTGAAAAACGGTAGAAATATATGATAATTTCGTATTTTCGAGCAATTGATATATTTTTTACGGTTGTTTTTCAGATATCTAATTTATTATTTTTATTGGTTGTGATCAAAATCCCGTGATAATTTTGTATTTTGCTAAAGTGATTAACGGTAGAAATATATGATAATTTGTAGTTTTGAGTAATTGGTATATTTTTTACGTATGTTTATCTAAATCCAATTTTATATTTCTATATTTGTTTTGTGCAAAATCCAGTGATAATTTTGTTATTTTGTGGAATAAATTTTATTAGAAGGTATTTGTTGTCTGAATCGAAATTAAGCAGAAATATGGATTTCTCTCCCTTTAAACCTAACAACCTGTTTCATAGATATGTGTATCCAGACTACATTTAATTGCATTTTAAGAATGCAATGATGGACTGGTTATTCAAAGGTAACAATTGTGTCCTATTTTCATTGGTTAGGATGATCTTTGTGTGAAGAAATGAAACTAACTGTTAGATTTTAATCTGTTGTAAATAGTTGTGCATGATTGAATGACAGGTGTCAAGTGTCCTACATTAAACAAGACTCAGAATGAATTGGCATGGTGTATTGAATATTGCAGGTGCTTGTTTGGTGCTGAGTTTGATTGCTCTGCTGGTGCCAGTTGACAGTACAGTGAAGGAACTGAAAGTAGTAACTCAGGTACTTTTTTGGCAATGTTCCAAATTTGTATAATGATAAGGAAGAAGAGTGGGATGGGGCATATTTATGGTGCTTTCTGAAAATTCACCTTTTTGCACTCATCAGATAAGCCTTGGGACCCTTTAGACCAATGCTCATGCAACAGATATGCAATATTAAAATGTTCTGAACTTCTATACCAATTAAGGTCAATGTTCTTAACTGATACGCCATTAAGGTCAATGTTCTTAACTGATATGCCTTTAAGGTCAATGTTCTTAACTGATATGCCATTAAGGTCAATGTTCTTAACTGATATGCCTTTAAGGTCAATGTTCTTAACTAATATGCCTTTTAGGTCAATGTTCTTAACTAATATGCCTTTAAGGTCAATGCTCTCAACTGATGTACCATTAAGATCAATGTTCCTAACTAATATGCCTTTAAGGTTGATGTTCTTAACTGATATGCCTTTAAGGTCAATGCTCTCAACTGATGTACCATTAAGATCAATGTTCTTAACTAATATGCCTTTAAGGTCAATGTTCTTAACTGATATGCCTTTAAGGTCAATGTTCTTAACTGATATGCCATTAAGGTCAATGTTCTTAACTGATATGCCATTAAGATCAATGTTCTTAACTAATATGCCATTAAGGTCAATGTTCTTAATTGATATTCCATTAAGGTCATTGTTCTTAACTTATAGCCCATTAAGGTCAATGTTCTTAACTTATAGCCCATTAAGGTCAATGTTCTTAACTGATATGCCATCAAGGGCAATGTTCTCAATGGCTGTCCTCTTTCCCTCTTTGTACACTGCATGGCTAGTGAGAAATTACAGACCCAGAAAAAGACGATCTGACTTTTGATAAAATGGGTTTGCTGAGGCCACCAATCAGCCATTTTGATTTTGATTGAGTCCATCTTTGTTTTTGTAGAGTAAGCCAGCAGAATGTCATCCTGTTGCAGCCATTGGTGATGAAGTTTCTGTACATTACACTGTAAGTTTTTGTCTTGTCTCTAAGGCAGGGTATTTATTTGAGATTTAGGGGAGGGTTGTAGTCTATTGTCAGAGGCATGTCTACAAATGCCTGAGGAATGTGACAAAAAAAGAGGTGTCTCTCCAAGGCGAGGCAAGAAGGGCCACAGCCATTGTCTATCATCTGGACGCAGTATTTTTGATTTTTTGGGGAGGGCCGTAGCTCCTTTATTTAGAATGTAATCTTAGGATGTCATAAAAGCAAAAATTTGGTTGTAGTCCATGAGTTTTTTAAAGTTGGAATAATTCTTCTTCTACAGGGGAAATTAGAAAATGGTGCTGTTTTTGATTCCTCAGTTCTTCAACAACGAGATCCTATCTCTTTTACTCTAGGTGCTGGACGAGTGATACCAGGTAATTTGATATTCTTTGTTGGGAAAATTCATTAGACTCGGTATAAACCTAGTATAGTGTTCAATACAGTGAAACCCCTATAAACTTGTAGGCCACTGGACAAAGGTAAAGTGCCAGATGGACGGGTTTCAGATGGGTGGGTTTGTCAAAGATGGTTTGATGACAAAAGAACGTCTGCTTACAGCAGAAGCTGATATTGCTGGTTAGTTGTTAATCTAAGAGAGTTTTATTCCTCTATGAATCAATCCATTATCTGTAGTTCTCTCCCTTTACAAGGCCAACTGGCTAGTATAATAACTATGCTTACACGATACAATTTCGTTTCTGTTTTATTCTGATATGACTTTTCAAATGTATTACGATTCTATTTATAGGATGGGAGCAAGGTATTCTGGGAATGTGTGTCGGGTGAGTATGGTTTAGTGAGTATAGTTTTCGACATCTATTTATAGATGGCCCAACAATCGACAGGTATACGTCTGGACGAGGTATGGAATCGATTTCAGCTGTTTTGTATCTGAAATTATGGACAAAAAACTCTTCACCCTGAATTATGATCGGTAACTAACCATAGCAACTGGCAGTAGTTGAGATCATTTCATAAAAGATATGTGGGAAATAATGGTGTTCTCTTGTTAATTTTCATTTGATATTTTCAGAGAAAAACGCCTACTGACCATTCCACCTCAGTTAGCCTATGGTAAAAGAGGTGTAGCTCCACAAATACCACGTACGTATTTCATTTTACTTGCTCTAGTACCCCTTCCATTATTGAGCTCGAAAGAGCTTAAAAATACATGGATTTGAAGGCTCAAATTTCGTTGGCAAGCTTTGCTAAAATATTTTCTGAGACTAAGTTATGATTGGTCTAACGGATGGCAAACATGTCTCTCTGAAAGGATGTAAAACTCATTTTAGCACCGTGAGAAATTTAAATCCATTTTTTCAGCTGATGCAACAATAATTTTTGAAACAGAGCTAATGTCCTTGAAGCCAAAGGGTCAAGTTGGTATTGAAGAACAAGTGATGAAAACTCTGAGGTTATTAGCTCTGCCTTCCCTAGTATTATATATTATTTATTACCTTTATAAAAAATACCAGTCCGATACAGAATCGACTTCCAAAGCTTCCAAAGATAAGCGCAAAAAACGAAAATAAATTTCTAATTTGATGATGTTTTGTTTTGATATTCAAAGTGGGTGGCACTTTCCCGCTCTTTTTTTTTAGACGTCTTATCGCAAGGATATCTGACAAAATTTTGTAAAACTTCCAAAATAATCCCAAGGAACACATGAAATTGTGGCAATATCTGAAGATTTTACACATTTGAAGGTGTAATGAATTTGACCTATCAATTCCTTCCGCCTCGGCCAGTGCTTCTGAAAGAAAACCCAGTACCCGCTTTCAACCCCTATGACCTTAGCAATTACCAAACTTAAAATATAAACCTTTGACTAATGAATTTATTACCAAATCTGCAAAATTTCCCATAACAATTTTCAAAAATCATAATACTCAAAATCTGACATCAATAACCAGTGCAATATTCCTAAAATATACATAAAATCTGCAATATTTTCCATTTTTTTCTAAATTTTCAGGGAAGTATTTAACCTTTAAAACTAAAAACATTAAAAAGAAATAACCATGCACCATATTTCAATTATTGATCTAAAGGAATTCATTTAGTTTTATAAATCCCTGCTTGGCAGCATATGGTGTCTGACGAGTTATAAATGTATGATTTAAATATAAAATCTTTGGGTTCAAACACATGTTACGCCAATTATCGATAATCTTAGTAAGATTTGTAGGAAGTAGATACAGTAACTCGTAAGTGGCTGCCACATTGCAGAAAAATTTCACATCAAGTGTTAGTGAAAAAAAATTGAACTTTTTTACTCTTCAATATTGAAGATCTATAAAGATAAATCTTGGATTTTTAAACGATAGTTACATATAACTGGAATTAATAGAACCAAAAGCAAAATGTGTGCCAATTTACAGTTTTTCGGATATTTTTTGTTGGTTCTAGTAGCTATTTCATCTGCAGTGGAAGACAATTCTATTCAAGTTTCTACAATTGTAAGTATCCATCTTGGATTAGTTTTTGTAAATCATCGCAAGTGCTTTTGAAAATCTTTGAATTGCAACATTTTTGATAGGTATATTCTCTTTAAGTGTGGACATGTACCACATGTTTTTTCAGATTTATTTTGATGTTAAATCCATATACAACATTAATGATATCCTTTTTATTGTCTGAAAAATATTTCAAATGTTCAAGAGTTACTGCCCTTGATGCTATGTAATATAATTTCAGTTTAAACCAGAAGATTGTCCAGTCTTTGCTGCTCAAGGTGATGATGTTTCTGTCCATTATATTGTAAGTTGACTGAACTATTATTCCATAAACTGTATCACTGCCAGCTTAAAACCAACCCCTCCCCTTCTACGTCAAATAAATAGTGGTGGTGAGTTCTTATCTTGGTCTGCATGCCCAAAGGTTGGGACCCTTAATCATCCTTCCTCATGATTCAAGTCAACTCAGCTGTAAATGGGTATGGATAATCCAGGAAAGATCATTGCCAAATGGTTTGGCATAGGACCAGCTGGTAGAAAGGATTCTTATTATTCTAGTCAGACCAGCTGTAAGTGGAGAGGTCAATGCCAAGAGGTTTGGCCAAGGACTTGCTGGTCCAGAGGATCCTCAGTGAACCCAAGTTATTATCCTTGTTAAAAAAAGGGCACTTTTTTCCTTTTCCCATTTCATTGTCACTTTTCTTTTGTATTCCAGATGAAATTAAAGGATGGTACAGTGTTAAAGTCATCATATGAAGATGGAGTACCTACAGATTTCATTGTGGGTGAACCTAATATCCTCTCAGGTGAGTCTAAGGGGTGCAAACCACTTACTTTTAGAAGAGCGTAACCCATTGTTGCAATTTAGACCTCAGACTCTACCAACTTCTATTGGTATGATTCAAATCAGCAGTGGCTACAGCCGGTGCACGTTAAAGATCCCTTGACAGTTGGAAATCGAAAAACAGCCAATGCGGCTGTTCTTGCAAAATTTCCCTCATTGCACCCTGTATGGCTTTGCTCGTCTTCCTTAGCCCACATGGTGCAGAAAAGTAGGACGTAAAACTCCATTCATTTCATCTCAGCTATATTAGGTATGTATCCTTGCCATATCACAGGTGAAGGGCATGCAGCACCATACCAGAGATGAAGTTGAGGAAAAATGTGATTCCACTGTTAAATCTTTTGGTCGGCTTGTCTCTCCCTTACACTCGATTCCTGCACTGATTATTAATCTGTTAATTATTTTTGTTTTACAGGGTTATCTTATGGAATCATGGCAATGTGTGTTGGGTAAGTTCAGATGTTTCAAATTTACCAGAGGAGTGGCATCAGGTGTTCCAGTAGAAAAAATGCCCTCTTGGGCCTCTCTAATTAATGAAAATTGCCTCAATGCTTAAAGCAGATGATATCAAATTCTGAGTTATTTCTTTCAGGGAAAAGAGAAAAATTCACGTGCCACCATCTTATGGGTTTGGAGCAGCTGGATCACCACCAGCAATACCTCGTAAGTAGCTTGGTTCAAAGCTGAAATTTTGTATGAACATTGTCTAGTCATTCAGTGGCCCCAAGTGCTGCAGACTGTACACATTAAACATCCCTCGACAGTTGGAAATCAATGAAGCGAAAGCTAATGTGGCTGTCCTGGCTTTCCTCATTTCACACTGTATGGCCTGTCTTCATGGGCTGAAGGATGACCTTTTCCTTACTAAATCTAGAGCAGCAAAGTAGGATGTAAAACTCCATTTCTTCTGTTTCAGCAATGGCGTTTCTAGACATTGAAGCTGAACTTCTTCAGATCTCCAAACCACCTATATACATGAAGTACGTCAAACTTCTAAAGGATCGAAGAGTGATGTTTGGAGGGTATATTGCTGGTTTAGTGGTTGTTAGTTTGATCATTCTGTGCAAGTGTTTACCCAGTCTACCATCACAGAAACGAAAAGCAGCCAAAGCCAAGAAGATTGATTAGGAAATTTAGTATGTTTTATTATATATTAAAATGTTTTTTCACTTACTAATATTTGTTCTTGTTACTTTTGTTGTGTTATTTTTTTACTAACAAAGTTATAGAAGGGATTGTTTCCGTGGGAAAGAAAGAAACCAGGTATAAATTGGTGTGGCTAATCGAGGATCAATGATAAGAGGTTTGGTCAAGGACCAGCTGCTAGGAGTCTCCTCAATATTCAAGTTGATCCAGCTGTAAATGGGTACAGATAATCCAGGAAAGATCTTTGCCAAGATGTCTGGCCAACCACCAGCTGCTAGGAGTCTCCTCAATATTCAAGTTGATCCAGCTGTAAATGGGTACAGATAATCCAGGAAAAAATCTTTGACAAGAGTTTTCGCCAAGATTTTACTGTGTTTATTATCTTGACTGCAATGAGCACCTTTCTTGAATCACAAGAGGATTGTAAATGCAACAATATGGTGATATAAGAAAGATGGCTATTCCAGTCATGGTATAAGACGAAGTTCGTAATAGCTTGACATTGTGAAGATGCTGCCCGCCCAAAATAAAAACTCCAGCAACTGACTCTATATTTATTTTCACATATACAGATAGTAATGATTTATTGTGAGAGACATAATGATTGGCTGAAACATTTTAAACTAACCAATCACATTGCTTCTTAAAAAATAATATTAGAATAATCTAGTAATATCATTGGTTGAAATAATACAAGTACCATTTGATTGGCTAATCACTGACCAATCAGTTCACTTCTCAAATATAATCTATAATATCATTGGTTGACTTTATGGTTGGTAAAATATTGACCAATCATATTGCTTCTTAGATATCATGTTTAATATTATTGGTTGAAAATAGAGATAATAGTTCCAATGATTTTGGTTTAACCTTTTTTTTGTATTAGAGAGCTCAAAAAAAATTTCAAGGCTTTGATTTTAAATCGAATTCAAAGATCCATATTCTCAATTTACATGCGAAAATTTGATTTTTCTTTTTGTGCTGAACTGTTTTCTCGTTCTATACATTTTAAAATTTTTGACATTTTTTTTTTGAAGGGTGTCTCTTAAACATATTATCATGACATCACATTATACTATGACATCACAATTTATCATGACATCACATTCATTATGACATCACAATTCATTATGACTGATCAATTTTTATTATGACATCACAATTTATAATGACATCACAATTCATTATGACTTATCAATTTTTTTTGTATATGACATCACAATTTATTATGACTCGACCTAGAATTATTATGACATCACATTTATCATGACATCATTCTCTTATTATGACATCACCATTTATTATGACATCATTACCGATGTATTACATTAGAAATTGCATCATGACACTAATAATAATAATAATAATAATAATAATAATTAGAAACAAATATATACATCTTTACACATTTAAAACAGCGAAAAAAAAAAAATCTGAAATATGAGCAAACCTTTGAGTAGGTTTAATATTGTTATCAGCGACAACCTCTAAAAAGCTTTGGATTACCGTTCGCGATATTACATCCATCTTAACCTTAAAACTGTCACAAAAAATATATCATTGTTCTTTGTCTTTGATGTAATAGTTAGATTAAATTAAGTAAAGTTTTGGGCATTAAGACGAGGGCATAACCACGAAAATTTTACTTAATATGATCTAAATTACTTAGAACCTAGAGCCTAACGCAAGCTGTCAATCAAAATGTCACATGATTGTGAATTTCTTAACCATTAAGCGGCTCACTTTATAAATAATTTAGCCAATGCTGATTGGATAAAGGGAGTTGGATTCTAAAAGTCTTTAGCCATTGTTCTTGCTGTATTGACAAAAGTTAACAAGTTCATTTTAATTTAGTTCCATGTTCGGCACTAAAATTTCTACTTTCAAAAAATGACCTGGGTTTTAAGCTTGTCAGAGCATTGTCTACAAGGATGCGAATAGTTTCTGCTAAAAAAGTATTAACAAATCATTTTCTATTTTGAAATTTACATTTAAAACAACAAGTTTGTCATATTTCAAAATATTCTGCAGTATTGCCAGATTTATTTCAAATTATGCAATAACTACATGGCCAGATTACAAAGACTAATGAATGCCCTCTTATAACATTATTGAAATGAGACAATCCTAACAAGATAATCTGGCGTTACTTCGCTTTGCCAGAATCAGGCAACACAAAATATCTTATTCTGGCAACACATTCAGTCAATAAATTTCCCCTGACTAAATTAATATATATTTATATATATTTATATGTATTTATTATCACTATGTACATTGCACTTCCCCGCATACGTAATGAATGAACAGAACAACAAAAAATAGAAGTATATAGCCTACGTCGCTCCGCTTAAAATTGACCATTTTCTTTCGCAATTCATTTTGTTCAGAGTCGTTTGCGAGAGATTACTTTTTAAAAAATATTCCCAAATATATCAAGTTCAAGGCCATTTCAGAGATTATGCAACAGGTGAAGGCCATTTTTAATTTAAAAGGTGAAGGCCATTTTTAATTTGAAGGTCAAGGCCATTTCTTAAATATATATAGGTCAAGGTCAGATATTTAATAAAATGGTGAATTTTATGCAGAGCAAAGAAGACAACAGATTAAAATAAAAACAGTCTATTCCCTGCGATAAATCAAATCTTTGAAAAAACAGAAACTTAACGTGTTAAAGAACATTTTATAAATTTATTTTTCCATTTTGAGAATCAAAATTTTCGAATTGTAAATAGCTAATTTGTATCCTTAAATCCTTTCCTCGCATTTTTGTATTTTCATCATCTCGACAAATATTATTTTAAACGCAAAGTTTGGAGAGTTTGAATTTAAATGAAATAGCCATGTGGACACTCTGAAGTTGACAAACACAAGAGGAGAGAGGCATCATTTGACTAGAAAATATGATGATCAAAACAAATTTTGATTCCCAAAAAACGAATCGAGATAAGCGAAACAATTGACAAATTTTTGATTGCATTTGATCGTTTGGTCCCTCACAATCACTTTTAGTTATTTTCCAAGTTTTTCTTAAAGTCAGATCAACAAATCAGAGATTTAAAAATCCAGATTTAGTAAATACAGCAATTTGATTGGATAATAAAATGTATTTTATTGGTTGACCAATCAGATGACTGAAGTAAAATTTTAGTGGCACAAATCATTGCTTTTCATTATACTCGGTTAAGTTGTAAAACTGTATTTGCCATTTCCATTGTCCGACAAAAGTCAGCACATTTTAAGAGAAAAATAAAAACAATAATATGCCATTATTTTGCATTTTTGATAAATTTTTTGTTATTTTTATTCCAATAAAAGAAATGGTTTCTTGGAGATTCAAATAAATTGACTAGCTTAAGTTAAATTCATTAAATATTGTGCCATTTTAAACTAATTACAATTTAAGTCACTGGTTACAGAATGAAAAACCGCTCGATTTGAAAACTTTTTGAGAAATGTTTTGGAAACAAATCCTCATCAGGATAGCTGGCTTTTACTTAGATATATTAACTTGCAAGTGCAGCTTTCACAACAGAATAACACCTTGGTCTGTGCTTACATAATTTTTACCACTCTCACCTTAATATAATTTTGTCATCATACCAGTACTAAGGTCTAAAGGGGGGAGCTTGGTTATCCCACACTCTGAAGATTGAGCGATTATTCACACGATAATCAGTGATGTAAATCGTGCTAATAACAATGTAATACTCTCATTTTATCACAACTAATAAATGTATCACAACACAATGGTTTGAAATTTCAGCTCAACTGACTAAGCTGAAAAATAAGCTCGACCTAATTTGATGCTTTTGCAGAAAGATAAACCTCTCTAAATTTTAAGCTTACTAAATAAAAAATAATTTTGACTAACTTTCATGCTTAATTGATGAATTTTAAGCTTCAGGGAAGATTAAGTTTGACTAGATTATAAGCATTTTATCAAAATAGCTTAGAATTTTAAGCTTTTTAAGAGATAAGCTTTGTAAGTACTTAACTTAGCCTACATCTGAACTGATAAACTTGACTAGATATTTAAGCTTTTTATTTGGAATTAAGACTAAACAATTTGCAAGACTAGAGCTCAAATAAATTTTTGGGGGAGCTTAATTAAGCTGTAGAAAAAGAGATGAGATCATGCATGATGTAAGACTAGAGGGTAATAATCTTTAAGCTTTATGCAAAAGCCAGGCTTATTCATCAAAAATTGATAGCTCAACTATGATGGGTTAATTAATGAATTGCATTAACCCTTCGAGCTTATTTAGTTTAATACTCCTTAACCCTTTTCAGGTCAAGATAATTTTCTTAAAATGAACCAGCATTTTGAAAAAATAAATAAAAATAAATGAGGATTAAATAAGATGCTAGAATTAGCTTAAAAAATGAATTTTCAAATGATATATATATATTGTTTGTAAAGAACTGTTTAAAGCTCAAAGCTGATTTTTTGGAGACTAAACTTCTTAAGATATTCGCTACATAATGTATATGATATATATATAGAAATTGAGCTCTCATTTATTAGAACTTGACTGCTGAATATTGTGCATTTGCAAAAGTCAGTATCATTAAATGGAGTTCTTTCCCCTGAAATTGTTTCCAAAATATTTTGATTTAATTTGAGCGATTTTCTTTGATTTTTGGCAATGGCGCTGCAGCATTGAAGTGGTTTTGGAATGTGGTTTTATTAACTAATAACGGTTTTGATTCACAAGAAGAGCAAACGTCAAAATTTTTAAAATTTTTCTACTATCGAGATCGCTATCTGCATAGTTTGGTTACTATAACTACAAAAGAATCAAAATTTGCATATGAGCAAAAGATGAAAAAAAAAAAAAAATACAGAAGCGCAAAATAAATCGAGTCTAGACGTAAAAAGAACGAATAAATGAGCGCACAATTTCTATATCATACATAGAATAATAATCATAGTATATTCATATATATATTAATAAAAACGAAAAACAAAATCATAAGGGGACGCACAGACACCTTATCACAGTTATGACACCTATACATACCATATCACTCCGCCTCCAAATAAAAGTAGTCCATTCAAAAAAAAGTAGTCCATATAAACACTCAAAGTGATGAGCTTTGCAATGACTAAAATTACAGTGAAAGAAATCCAAGTCCAAGAGAGTTTAGATTTAAGTTTTTTTTTATACATACACTCAAAGTCTTGCTGAAAAATAGTTCCAATTTCTTTGACCCCTTCCCCCCCAATACAAATATATCCTCATTCCAGTTTGAATATTTAAAACCAGTTCCAGTTTTGGTATAATTTAAACCAGTTTCGGTTTAACCAACTAAACATCCATGCCACTAATCAGGGTGTCTTTGTAGTTTGTATTCACTGCTAATTCCAAGAGCACTCAACTCAATTATACCAAGATTCTGAAAAATTCACAACATCTTCTTCAGCAATTGCTGATACTGTACATTTTTTAATATAATGCTCAGGCTTGTATAACGCGCACCCTGGTTTCTTTCTAAATCTCTCTCACAGTAAAGGGATTGTAAAGAGGTTTTATTCATATTTGTGCCTTTTATGATACCTAACTGTCCAAAGCTGCTAATAATATCTAAGGACCTTTGTGATTTTGTGGAATTGCAAGAACCACAGATGTCTGACTGAATATTTGAAAATTACCATTCGAAGATAAATACTTAGTGCCTATTCTTACATAACCTATACTTAGCTATAAGTTAGCAAGGCATACTTACTTGGTTAAAGAGGGCCACTCTCTTCGCCGGGTGATTGGGGGGCCTTTAATGGTTCATTTTCTGGGAAAAAAATGCTTGGTTCTGTATTTCGACGTTTTATTTTATTTTTACTTTTCTTCAACATTGTAGCCTGGGAAAAGAACAGAAGAGAAGACTTTGTTAGCCGGCGGTCAAGATACAGGATTCAGGCAGGTAAAATAATTATTTTTAATTATATTGACCAGTCATCCTGTGTCAGTGATGCAGGTTGGAGGGACTGACATGGAAAGTGTCTAGGCGTTTGGATAGGACAATAAACCGAGGCTCTGTGTGCTCAAGTTGATTGACATTAGCTGTTGTTGATGTCCATCTTTCTACCAGTAAACTGAACAATTACCTGTTGCCATATTAGAAGGGTTATACAGCCAAACCAAGCATATACAAAACCAAACTTACTTTTAATGCAGATCTGAGTACGACCACCTGACCAGCGGGTTGGATCCAAGGCTCTCCGTCAACTTGTACAGGAATATCAGTTAATAACGTTATACGTAGCTGTAAAAAACAAAACATAGCATCTTCAGATATAGCAGGACATAGCTTTAATCAATCCAAAAAATTGCCAAACATAGCAATTGGCATATGTGTCAACTGTCAAATGTAGCCATTGTCAAATGCATCAAGCATCAAACATAGCCATACTTATATGTGTCAAGTCAAACATAACCGTTATCAGATGTGTTCATTGACAAACATAGCAATTGTCAAATGTGTCAAACATAGCATAAAAATATGTAAACCATAGCCATTGTCAAATGTGTCCAACTTTGTATGTGAACCTGGGCAATGAATTCATGGCATCTATTTCCACCATTCCAGTTTTCAATCTGATATTCCTAGAAGTAACTTACATGTCCTCCCTGGGCTATTCTCATACCAGTTCTAAGACCACTGTGTATTTGTCCCATATGAACTACCCCAGTAATGCCTACAATTTCTAGGTTTCCATCATAGTGGGTTGGTTTAGCAAATGTATCTTCTTTTTCTGGACCCCAAGGATTTGCACCAGAACCCCAACTGCAAAAAAGAAAAAAAATTTGCCAATGGTTACTCTGTGAAAGGTTTTTGTAGTTATTGAGATTTCTTTTGGTAAGTGGTGGTCCATCTCTTACTATCTCTGATAATTTTAGTCTACATCGTAATCTAAATACATTTCTACCAAAGGTTGTCTTTTTAACCAATCATAGTGTGTCATATAGAACTCGTTTCAAACCTAAAGTAGAGCACCCAAACCTTTCTTTTACTATTGCTCTACCTCTTTCAGAATTTCAGATACCCATCTTATCCTATTGCATTACCTATTTTACAGTACATAAACAGTTCGCTACGTACCTAAGAATGTTAAGAATAATTATTCCCTCTACAGGAGGTAGTTCTATTAATTTCCCATCAACCTCTACTTTAATGTGACGATGTAAAGCTTGACAAGACTTCCTGTTGACCATTTTCCGTAAACCCATTTTAAAATATACACTTTTATTATGTAACCTGAAAACAAGAACAAAAAATATAGAATTCATTCACTTTTTGGGGATGGTTGTAGCTCAGTCAGTAATGTATTTGAATCTTGACATCATTTGGTCGATGAGCATGGATTTTATACACAATATTTCAGTCAGCAAGGAAATGCATATAGGAACATGCATTGGTCTTTGTGGTTCTTTCCTTTGGTTCTATTCTGGATGAACTTGCAGCTAAGTAGTCTTAGGATCTCAAAGATCAAGGGTTCTCTGCTCATTAGTGACTCTTGGCTTCTCTACTTCCAGGCTCATGGCCAACCTCCTATTAAATGTATCTGGTTTTTTTCACTAGCCATGATAAATCGGGACAGGTATTTTCTGGGATAGCATTTCCAAAGATCATCAAGGATTCTCCGCATATAAGTGCTTCCAGTTTCTTGGCTTACCTGCTATTAAATTTATCTGGTTTTTCTTCACGAGCCATGTGAAAATCTAGACAGAGATCAGCATCTATTCCAATACCAAAATAATTATTCATAACAAATATAGACGTTTGGTCTTCATTAGTGTTGGCCGAGTTGGTATCATTGGCTAAAGCCACCTTCATCTCATCTGTCTCTTTCTCATTGGGATGAAATATCACTGTCCATCTACAAGAGAAAGTGGTTGAAGAGGTTTAAATGTATATTGTATAATTGCAAATATAATGCGCACCCCTTCTTATCTCTAAGGTGCATCCTGTCTTGACAAAAAAATCAGCATTAGATTTGAATCCTCAAGTTGAATTTTAGCAAAGTTCCAGTGTGCACTTTTGATAGTGTTGCTTGCTCAGCTCTGAAGAAGGCTGAAGCTAGACTAGGCTTCATTCACCCAATAAAGCTCAAACCATTAGGACAGAATCCTGCAGAAGTAGAAAAATAAAATGAATGTACCTGTCCAGCTTGATTTCATCAGCATCTATAACATCTCGTAAGACATTGAGAGGATCTTCACCACCAGTATAACCTGGTCCCCACCGTAATACTCTCGCTAAATCATTACCTGCAAATAGTTACACAGAGTTACCTCCCCTTTCGAGTTATTTCTCCATGCTGGCCTATTCTCATATGGTTAAATCCTTTTTTAGCCTCCTCTATTACGACAATTCAAATGCATTATATAGTTCTTCAAATGTTCTTCTATGGGTTCAATTGATTGACACATTAAGACCCGCCTCTTGCACATGCTCTTTTCAATTGATTATCATAGCCTACTGCTTTAAAAACTGGGTTTTCAGCCTACTGGGTCTCAATTCAAAACAAAGATGACAAACCTGTTCCTAAAGGGACTATAGCCATAGGAGGTGACTGGCATTCTCCATCCTGCCCCACATTATCCAGACAGGACAGGACCCAGCCCACTGTTCCATCACCACCACACACCAACGCTTTATAGTATGGAATATTACGAAACACATATAACCTACAACAAAGAAAGAAAGAACCATATAACCAGTTAGGTTCAAGAGGATCCTGTATACCAGCTGGTCCTTTGCCAAACCTCTTGGCAATGATCGTTCCTGGATTATATGTAAAGGTTCCAATTCAGGAACTGACAGTGCTACATGAATATATTATCCTAAGCATTTGAAAAGATGGAAACAAAATGGCCGACAACTTACCCTGGAAGTGGTCCACCTAATTCCAAATTAAACACCTGATGAGGGTTGAGAAGTTTACGGAAAGATGTAATAAGTTCTAGTCCTTGACATCCTCCACTTTTAACATTCACAAATACTAATAATGGATTCACATTGTCCGATATCATATGTGGCTGGAAAAGAGAGACAAAACTTTTAAAGTGGACTGGACGAGAGTGTCAAGATAAGAATGCAAGGAACTGATTCGTTGATTGTTGCTGGACAAGAGAGACTAATATTTTAAGGAAAAGGTCAAGGTGACATGATAGTTGCTCAGGCACACATTACTATGTCAACTGGAAGATGAAGACAAACCAAAAGCACACGAAGGACATGCGACAAGAAGGGACAAACCATAAATCTGCAAGAGTGACTGGAAAACAGAGACTAATGTTCAGATGGCAAGGTCATGATGACTTTTATGTTTAAGCACACTTCAATATCAGCCAAAAGCACCAACCATGGACAGTTTGAAATGAAAACAAAGGGAGAAAAGTCCTACCTGTATATTTGGCAATAAAAGAACTATCAACTGTTTTTCATCAAAATAAGCTTCTTTTAAAATATTGAAAGTTCTGGTGACTTTTTCTGGTGACGTATAAACTAAGACGAGAGATCCATATTCATAATATATCACATCAAATGTTGACCATTTATTTTCTGAAAAATAAAATGGCGTGGGTGAAATAACATTACTGAAAATACAGCCAAACAAACCCCTCGACTCTCACAGCTAGCTATTTTGTTGAGAGTCTTTCTGTTGAGGGTTCTCATTGGCAGAAAGGATCAGATACATCATCAAATTATTGATGCTTCTTCTTCGTCTTCATCAATTGTGATTCAATCAATCATCGAATCATGTTAAGGACCCCTAATAATCCCAACAGAAGTCCATACTTATCCAAAATGATGGTCCTCTTGTGGATGGAGTCCAAACCCTTGCTAATCCCATAAGATCTTCCTGTGGTGGACTCCATATTAATCCCAAAAGAAGCTCCCCTTATGGATACTGATCCCAAAAGAACTCTTGTTGAGGAACCAATACTGATCCCGAAAGAAGGAAGCTTTTCATATCTTACCTCTGCCAATAATATCTAACAATATTTTTTCATATTGTCTCTGTGACAGAGCCGTTGGCAGATTACCAACAAATAAAGATATACTAGGACCGTGGGGGTCTTCTTTTTGCTGAAGATAAAAACGGGTCAACATCGTCTGACGTAAGGATTCCTGGAAGAAAAAAAAGTCAAGATCTGAAATCCTCTGAATAATAGCAACATAAACATCTTTGGGACATCTGACAATGAGGTCTTTTGCCACCTCAAAGAAGACCATCATACATATGGTCCTCCATGGACCATCTTACAATGATGTCCAGAAAACTGTATTCTTCAATGTACGGTTAATTATAGACGAGATGATGCTGGTCCTTTATCCAAAGAAGATCACCTCAAAGCAGACCATCATACATATTTCTAGTGGTTCCTCTTTTGCACAGAAGACTACAAGAGGCCAGAAACCCATGTTTTTTTACAGACAAGATGATGCAGTTCCTTTTGCCAATACTGATGCTTCAATAGGGTGAACCCAAAGCAATAAATGGATCCTTACCCTCCGCCTCTGTTGAATTAATTGCAATGGTTTTTCATCATGAGATATTGGTCGTTCTGTTACACCTCGATCTAGTAACACTTCTACTAGTGAATAATTATCTGGATTAGTTTCCTGCAATATATATTTATAATTGTCAAGGGCAATAACTCTTGGCATGCTAGTATAATAGAAGTAACTTGCAAGAGGCAATCCAATAAAAGGATGTAATGATAAATCAAAGCCTGGTGAACTGGATTACAATCCTTCAATATATTCATAAATTGTCAAGGGCAGTAACTCTTGGGAAGTTAGTAGTATATCAGTGATATTCAAGATGTATTAAACTTAAAAGGAAAGACACAACATCTAGGTTACATAAAAAAGAATAATTTTTGCTTTGTCAAGGGCAATAACTCTTGGTGATTTCTTACCTCTACATTAAATTTGCGTAGTGCATTGATAATAATCTCCCTTGTTGTGGTTTCTTTTGTTACAGAAAAATTCCTTTGACCAGTTGATGCACTCCTGAAATTTTAGGAGAACAACATAAGAGAAGATTGGATGACAAAACAATTTTGAGCCAATCAAAACCTTTGAACATACTGTAGCACATATGACATGTGTCATTTAATTTATCGTGTAATTAAGACATCACTGGCAGCTCTTTAAGAATAAAAACAGAAATGGTCAACTTACCTATGGCGGAAAGTGCCTGGCCAAACTTTTATAGAACCTTTATCAATAGTTTTTTCACGGTACCGTAAAAATAAACACGGTCGTTTGCCGTCTGGTGTTTTTAACTGAGAGCGAATGGGACTGTTCTCCTCTAGTTCCCGCTCCCCACCCGATTCACTGATTTCAGCTATATAATAATTTTTGGGATCATCGGATATGTGGAATGTTTTCAGAGACGTCTCCTGCAAAAAACAAAGGGAGATAAATCATCAGCTGGGAAAACCCAAACTTTGAGCAGACCATCATCTGAATTGAATCATTTATACGAAGTTTTGCCTTCTTTGGAAGCTAATTGTGTTTCAATCACCCTAAAAAATTGATGGACATTGTAGACTTGTGTTTCAAGACACTTACCAATATTGGCTTGATCAACAGGTTTTATTTTAGACTTGTATACCCAGACACTTACCAATATAGCTTGAGCAGAAGCATTCTTGGATACAGTTATTGTGCGGTACTGTCTTCTCTTTAATGACATATTTCCGTCAAAAACACGTAACACCTCAAGGTCTGCATCTTTCTCTTTATCACGTCCATCTTTTTCACGCGGTGAACGTCTTTCTTTGTCATCTTCTTCAGTTTTCGAATCACCGCTTGATGACCATTCCTCTGATACAGTACGAGCTAAAAGGCACAAGCAAATGTTTTAGCTGCTGAAAATTAGTTTAGCAGAAGACACCAAAAGAGTAGCCATCCATTGAATGGTAATATGTAACGGACAAGACTTAGAAGTGAAAATTTAATTTAGATGCAGTGGAGACCAAAAGAATTGCCAAGCCATTGTTAGCGAAATATTTATCTTCAATAATCTTAATGAGTAAAGTTTTTGAAGGAAGTCATTTTACATCTTGTGAGGAAGCTCAAAAGAATTGATTGTTCATAATATTCGAAAAATACTTACTTGGTAAAGCTACTGTTAAAGAGAAGCAGAAAAAAAGGAAAAAAAGAAAAATGCATCAGTTAATGTGTGGATATTTTTCCAAAGGACTTGGTCATCTCATTAATTTTAAATTAAAAAAACAATCAATTCAGAGGATAATAGGAAATTATCCGTAAAAGATGAGAGGTCAAAGACAAGCATAGACAGAAAAGAAAATGTCCAGATCATTCAGGATTTATCATCAATGACAAGAGGACCCTATATAGGAAAGATCATTTGCTGAAAGGTTTGGATTTTGGTATCCCCAAACATTACTTATGAGTTAGCTTTTGGAACGAAAAAGCATCATCAAACTCTGGAGTGATCCACTGTTGTTACAAAATGCCAGTGTTCTCCAAGTGATCAATAATGACTCAAAACATGCTTACCAGTTTTCCTATTGATTCCTAAGATCACATCCATGGGCACATCCAGTCTGGGGATTGTGAGACAGCTTGGTGGTAGAACAATTTCCCTCATACTCCCAAATTTACACTCCAGTGGTAATAGTTTGTGACATGCTGCATGAGCCTGGAAATCATCAAGAGAATTAAAGTTTGGACACTAGGCAGTAGGATCAATAAACTCCTCCCAAGCTGCTCCCAAGATTTCGGGCTCTGGTGAGAATCCACAAGGCTAATATTGTATCAAGGAATATTGGCTTTAGTTACATAAGGAGATCAGTCTGCACAAAATAAATGACAGGACCATCTATTCCAAAAAGAATTGTATTGGGTCTATTTTTAGCATGTCAGGCAGTTATCTCTGAGAGATAGAGAATGCTTCTACTTACTGTGACCCCACACCATTCACATCTCATACCAGCTAAACACTCCGACGACCAGCATGTCTTTTTACACACCACACATTTTGAGTTGGGTGGTAAGTTCCCTTCACGCCAATGGTGGTAGTGTACAATATTAGACTGAAATGAAATGAGTTCTTCAGTAACATCAATTTGTTCTTCCAAGGGGTTGGTCTTGGATAATCAAGTCTTTTTCTACTTATGTACAGCAGTTAAGCCTTGTTTGAATTTTGTATATATCTGGTGGAGATATCCCAAAACCCATAAGAACCCTTTCATCTTTCAATCCAGAGGACATGGTTCCATCTTCACTGACATTGTACAGTACAGTCTTTTCAAACATAATTTGCTGGTACCACTAGCCACTTAATAGCAAAAGTACCCTTCCCTTAAGTTCATGCCTAAATACCCTTCCTTCCATCCAAAGGATTTTGTTCACATAATTTACTCATGCCACAAACCATTAAATGCCAAAAGAACCCCTTCCTCCAAGTTCTCCAAGTACAAGAGCATGCTTACCTTTTCTGTTTGTGGTACATATGTAGCACATTCCATACAATCACTGACTACAAAATCTTGACATTCTAAATGGGAATAATATTCACAAACTGGAAAGAAAAACCATTTTCATGCACTGATAATATTCCAATTATAATACCTACTTCTTCATACATACCCTATATTTGTGAATATAATGCTCATTTTTTGTACCCATTATGGAATAATTAAGGGAGAAATTTTGTCATGCTTTGATATCATACCAATAAGGCTATATAACCTACTACTTGACACATACTGTATATTTGCAAGTATATTGCTCATTTTTTACACCCAATCTACAATAACTAAGTTCAAATGGTCTTAACTGGCCAGTACTTTCGTTCAGACTGGTCTTTTCAAAAGATGCAAACCCACAAGCGGCCAAAGGTGATACTTCTCACTTACTTTCACATCTAATAGCCAAACTATCTTCGAGTCTTTTCCGACAAACATTACAAAATTTTCGTTTAAAATGACCAGGCTCAGACCAACAATGGGACACTGGATTCTACAAAACAAAATCATCAGATATAGCAAGATCATCTCTTGCTGCTGTTGACACATCTTTGGATATACAATCTTCATCAGATATTTTCAGCAGCTTTTAAAATAAGCATTTAGTAGAATTGCAAGAACCACAGACGTCTGATAGAAAATTGGAATGATGCAAATTGATGCTATCAGTGTCCCTGATACACATAAAAAAAATTAGAAAACCTAAAAATGAAAGGAAGTGCATTCAGTGCAGAGGCCACAGAATTGTCAAGGGGGGCAAACAGCAGCAGAGCTTTAAAACTGAGGTAGGGGCACAGCCAGCTTCATTGATGGGAGAGGGGAATATCTGGTGAAGAGCTTAATTCAGTACTTACTTTTATTATTTGTGGTGCAATACAGGAACAAGGAGACACTACTGTTCTTAAACAGCGATCATGAACAACAAAATTACACACTGAAATATACAACAATGATTTGTCTTATATACTGTATAATTGCAAGTATAATACGCATCTCTTTACCTACAAGTAAATCTCGAAAAATCTTTTTCACTGTTAATAATACGCACCCTGTCTTGAAATGTTTGCCAATTCTGTGGAAATTATCATAGAATCTTGAAAATCGTGTCTATGAAAATTATCATTAATATCCTAAATTTTCGAACCATTATCATGTTTAGCCTATGGAAATTATCATAGATATAGAGCTTCTGGAAATTATCACAACGTTTAGTTAACGGAAATTATCAAAACATTAAGTTTATGGAAATTATCATATATATTATGAAGTTTCTGGACATTAGGACTATCAAGATGAATTAAATTATTAGTAAATTATCATTTTAAATTTTTGTAAATTTGTAAATACATTTAAGGTAAATCTGAGTAAATACAAGTTTGGAAATTCTAGTAAATACATAAGTAAATATGTGTTTGGAAATGCGAGTAAATACAAATTTGGAAATATGAGTAAATATCCAAGTAAATACATGTTTGGAAATGCGAGTAAATACCCAAGTAAATACATGTTTGGAAATTTGAGTAAACACCTGAGTAAATACATGTTTGGAAATGCGAGTAAATACAAATTATGAAATTTGAGTAAATACAAGTTTGGAAATTCTAGTAAATTCATAAGTAAATACATGTTTGGAAATGTAAGTAAATACATGAGTAAATACATGTATGGAAATGCGAGTAAATACAAATTTGGAAATGCAAGTTAATTACTTGTATACAAATATACCAAAACCCACACCCAAATCACAATAGTATGCAATAGATTTAGTTCTGCAATCCGATTGTCGTTTGCATGTTGGTTAAGTCTGGGAGTAAAAATCTATATTTGTAACATTGACTATGGTTAAGTCCAAACCGGTTATATGTCAAAGGCCAGAATTTAACCGGCGTTTAGTAGGGGCAGCCAATTTTCAACCATGAAATTGTTATTCCAAAATTGCACTTGCAAAGCAAATTTTTTAAAAGATTTGCAAATACTATAATAGCTTTGCAATTGACATTTCATAACATAATGCTGTGTTTTGAATCAGTGCATGAAAGTTGATCTAAATTTCAAACATTTTGAGAAACTACATTTATTTTGACCAGGCAAATCTATTCAATTTGTCAATTGATGTTTAATATATGTGCAATAATTCATAAGAATTAATTCCCTTCAGTTTTAAGTCAAAAAATATTTGCAAGAATTTTTTTCAAAAATTTATAAAAATAGGGCACTCTATCTTTAATTTTGACCGTTATAATACATGTTTGTCCACTATATCTTCCTAGTGATAGAAGCTAGTACCGGTATGCAATAACAGGTTATCATGCTGGGCCATATCAGTCATATTGTTTACAAATATTGCAACAATGTTTAAAATCTCAAATTAAAGATGCATCTTCCCCTCAATATAATCAAATTCCTCCACTATTGAAATAAGAAAACGATGTCCAGACCCCGTCCGTTTTGATGTGTTTTGGAATTTATGTTTATGCTAAGACACAGCAAATCCAATCCGTTTGACAGTCTGCAAATCCAGCCAAAATTGCATTCCACCATATAATAATCATCAAATTTTCATATAATTTTGGCGAGATTAGTTGCGACGATCGTTCTACATTCGGAATTTGGTGAGAAAATGTCGAAATTTTTCATAAATTTAATATCAGAAAATGTATATCTGGTTCTATATATATGTATATGCGTGCGACGATAGTTCTGCTTTACAAACATCTGACCTTGCTTGGAAACTACACCAAGGCCGAAGATCTGAAGCCGTCGGTCTAACCATAAGGTGGCAGGATTTGCGGCCTTACACCCTTTCCATCGCTTTTCGGTCGTCAGATACCAATCAAACATGCCCTTATACATTTTAACCCTTTCCCCGTGCCGAAATTCGGTGCCCAAATGCCAACATTGATATATCGTATACAATATTAAAATTGATATAGCCCGCATTCAAAAAGAATAAATTATCGAGAGCGCGTGAAAAAAAGGGGAATAGAGATAGTAATGGCACGCGTAATAAAGACGGTTTTTAGACAATAATAAAGCTTTACCTTCACAAACGTAGCCCTGTCCGATCAGCCCCCATAGCATGTCTGTGCAATGGTGACAATAGGTTGGTTTATGAACCGTTTTCTTCACGAAAAAATGCCCGTGACCTCGCTGAATGTCGGAGGCCGTATCATCGCTTGGCGATTCCGAACGAACGTTTTCATCCGCCATGCTGGTGTCCAAACGCTCGTTTTCTCGTTCCAAGCCTTTCCTCCGAGTAGAAACGGTCTTTATCCTTGAAAATACATCCTTAAAATCCACAGAAAAATATGGCGATCACTCCTTTTGGACATTATAGTTTAGTACTCCGAACCGCCATATTCACATCTCATCTTCATAGAACGGTTTCTTTACGGAAATGAGGAAAACTCAGCCACACCGAGGCTTGAATTAATACTCCGCGAAGCCGACACGCGAACCTGATAGGGTTAACCAGACCGAGAGTAATAGTAATTTTCTTACTGACGAACCGAGCTGACAATCGAGACTAATAATCTGACTTCCACTTTCGATTTTTTGATCCAGCATTCATTTTGATTAAATTAATTCTGTAGGAATCGGTATTTGAAGGGTTAATTATTTTTCCCGCTATTTTTTTTATTGAATATCCAGGTACTGATATCGGTGACGTTAGATTTTTATTTAAATCTTCGAAATTCTATCTGGGTGTTTAAATATTTAAAGAAATATTCAAGATTTGGCTTTTGACAATTCTACTTTCAATTTACATCGAAGTTATAACTGTCAAAGTTTTGTTGTTACTGGGGCAGACCGTTAGACAGCTCTCTTGAATTGAAAAACGTATAACGCACACTTAAGGCGCGAAAAGCAAGGTCACCCTAGAACGATATTCTATGCACGTGCTTTTATATTTTACACGATACTTTCGCATCTACGATAAACCGTTAGAAATTCAACATCAATGTATTTACGCCAATGCAGTACAAGTCCGTGCTGATGCACGCACGGGGAAATATGCACGTACGACTTAATATACACTCCCCCAAAAACGGATCCCATCTTAAAACGTAACGCAACAGATTAACTTCGACCTTAATCAATTAATCAATTGATTAATGACCTTTCACCTTTATTAATCCGGTAATCTTCACGATCTCATTAGGAATAGCTTCTCGTGACATACTTAACCCCGGTAATTAAACTGTAAACTAACAGACCGTAAAGGACGATTTGTATTTGGGTGAATTGAGTGGCAATGCCCGATGACCCCTATAATATACATCTAGGGAGCAGTTTTACGTCCCACTTTCTGCAAAGGAGAGGAGATACCATGATCAGCTGTAAGAGTCGTGCTTGTGCACTCTTTCAAGCAACCAAATAACAAGAGGTCTTCAGCTGCAAAGTCCCGGTTGAAGATAATTATATTGATGACAATTTGCAACAAAAATGTTTCAACCAACCAAATAAAAAGGTCATATAAAACGTATTGAGCTGCGCAAAATCCCGTCGATAAGTACTTGATAGCCTTTTTGACAATTTGCACCAAAACCTAAACGAAGAATTGGTCAAGAAGAAGTTTCAGATTAACATTCCGGTAGTTACCATAACCGCAACTTAATAATGGAAGTCAAAGGGTGTTCCTCAGACTCGTAGCCAGGCTTGATTGTTCCTAAAGATGCATGGAGATTGGGATATCATCACACATCGCGACAATGATCACATCATTTTAACATGGTTATACAGATGAACTCGTAAATCGTAAAAAAATCTCCCCAAAGACCCAATCTCTTTGATACGAAGGCGACATATGGAATCATAAAAGAGGCAAACCAATTTGTAAGTATTTAATCCAAAGACACCAAGATCCCAAAATTTCAAACAGTTTCAGTCTCATACTCCATTTCCCGTCTTTCTACAGATCCGATTCGGTTTCTTTGGTGATCTTCTTCAGTTCCTGATCCACGTTTTCCACAAAATCCGGAAACGATGGATCGGAGAGGCACATCCTGAGGAACATTCCAATGTCCTGGGTAGGCAAGTTAGTTTCCTTGTAAGCCTTTGGTAGGTTGGCTTTCAGCTGACCAGTCAGTACCTGCAAGATATCAGTAATTTACCGTATGAAGGTGTGCTGAATTTAGGGTTCTAAGATGGTTGATATTCATAATGTTCCGGCTGTAGACTAGCAAACTGCTATGGCGTTAAATCCTCCGTTAGAAAGAAAAAAAAACAGGAGATGTAGGGACTGTAGGACATGAGAGTAGAAGATAGAATGAGGAAGGTAGAGAGATGTTGTGCAATAGAGAAGAAACCAAAGGTGAACGGGAAAGGAGAAGTAAGGAAAGAGATTTAAGTCGTACAAAAAGGAGAAGGAAATTAGAGATGAGAAGTAGAGAAAGAACGGGAAGAAGAGATATGAAGTCGGACCTCAAGTGGATAGGACGAGGGATGTAGTGAGAAATGACTACGGGAGAGTAGAAAAATGCCAGAAGGAAGTAAAGATAAAGGGTAGATGAGTGCACTAACAAGACGATAGCAGAGAGAATATACTGGAGCAAATAGGCGAGGACAGAAAGTCGGGAAGGAAGTGGAGAAAGATCAGGAGGGAGAAGCAGTAACAGAGAAGGGGCTATGGGGTATTCTTTTACATTGAGAGGTACTTATTGTACCTCCGTGCAATGCTTCGGATTACAGTACTCCGAAGACTTATTATGGATTGGCGGGTTCAACAAATCTTGTCGTTTTTAATGCTGTTAGTTTGCCGAAATAAAATAGGATTTAAATAATTTTCATAAGTAGTCTCAGTGGTCAAGTAAATTTCAAAGAATTCCCTCCCTTGAAGTAAAACGTATATAAAACGTTACTATTTAAATTAAAATTTTGGATTGGCATTTCATTAAAAATCCATAGTAATTTATAATGTTCCAGTTGTTGACACCAGATCTTTCTCGACAATGACTTCTGAAATAATAAAGTAATCACATGGGTGAATGTGGGTGCAGACGAGCATTTTTCTTGCTGTCGAAAATGGAGAAGCATCAGCAAAACTCAGATGGAACCTACCTGTGCCATTGTTGACATGCTGACCTCCCCTTCAAGAGTTTGGACCTGGGGTTCTGTTTCGTTTGTTTCCATCTTGTTTGGATCCTGAAAAGAGTAAGACACATGAGTTCTTTTCATGAGGTGGTTATGCTGCAAGGCACCAGTTGGTCTTGTATAGGGGGTTCCTTGGATCATCTTTAGACTCATCAGCGTCTTTCAACGCCACTCATCGATATGTAGCTTTGTTGCATGGTTGACTCTATCAAAAGCAAATTCCTGTGGAACATCTTGGGTGTTCTGATGTCCATAACAACTGAAATTAGTAACCTGATACCTGTGTTGCTTCTTGTGACTCAGAAGTTGGTTCGATGGTGATCTTCACGGGAAAGAACTTATTTAGCTTATCAGTACATCCTTGACAAACTTGGATACCCGACTGTGCTTCCGTTGGTTTAAAACTTATACGGAATTTTCTTGTGTTTCCCTGAAGAATGCAAATTATACCACATTTATAAGGATACCTTTGGTCCTTGATTACCCTCCCCCCCCCCCCCCCCAAAAGTGGGGGGGGGGGGGGCATTAATAGTACTACCAAATTATAATGAAGTGTGAATATTGTAACGTTTTTATACGTTTTACTTCAAGGGAGGGAATTCTTTGAATTTTATTTGACCCCTGGGGCTACTTATGAATTTTTTTAATCCTTTTTCAGTTTTTAAATGTAAACCTGCACCTGTCGAATGTCACCGAGCTTTTGATGGGTTGAACTTACCCGAATTTTATACATGATCATCATACTGTCGCCTTTCACCAAACCTCTTATAGACGCTCTTGCCGTTACTAGTGAATGACTTTCCTGTAAAGAAGCATGGCCGACATATTGCACACTATTTTATTTATGGATTCTGGATGGTGCTAATGGAACATGGCGCAAGCTGTGTGCCATACCTTCATGATATGTATTCCGCTGCTTTTGATTTGACGATGGCGCTTGGTGAGCTGTCCTTTAAAAGTATCCAAAGTATCCAAAGTATCCAAACGATGCCATGGGCGCAGATTGCGGTCTTCGCCTAGGCTCCGTGGACACATAAGGGTAAATAGGGACTACTTCTCTTAACAACCGGTCCAGACCTCCTTTATCATTTGATCTGCGCCACTGGACAATGCCATATTTCGTTTCTTTGGGTTTATGAAGGGTTCAAGGTCAACTTACGACAACTGTTGGTCCGTGACATATCACCAAGAAGCTGGATTCAGTAAGAGTCATGTTCAATTCCGCTTTGGAGCTTTCATACACCTACAATATATATCATAGAGAGAGATCAGGGGCGTGTCTCTATGGCTAGCCTACATCTTCATTCAATCAAGACACTCATATTCCAGACTGATGCCCGAGGGCTTGCATCAAAGTGGAAAGCCGATCAAGTAACAATTCATAATGTATTTATGCATTAATTGATTTAAATGCGCCGCTAAAATGCACGTGCATCCAGCATACCATCCGACAAACATAACGGATTCGTTTTAGTAGCCGTATCGTAAAAGTAAAATAAGTAATTAGTTTTCCTTTTTTTTTACCTCCCATCCCCCTTTTCCTTCATTCCTGCTGACATCGTGTCGAGCATACTTTTCTAATTTCCATATAAATGACATTTTATGATCGTTTCAACGGTTATTTATTTTATCGACAGTATTTGGCGGGAAAGTATGTCGAACACATAAATTAGTGACGTAGTCTATTTATGTGAAGCACCTGTAATGGCCGCCTCCTCTCACTTTCAATGACTGTCTATGTTTATGTTGATAATACACTGATTTAGGTGGTTTCGAAGGAAGAAATAAGATTTATTATACATTTTTTGGAGACACAAGATATTAGCCATGACGGAGGTGAATGGATTTGGCGATGCTGAGGTTTGTAAATAAACAAATCTGCTATTTTTTCACCGTTTTCCTCGGCTAATTTCGCTATATTTTGAAAAATGTTCTTGTTGACTTTTATCATTTTATGACCGTCTGCTATTTTTAGACTTCCTTTTCCGTCTATTTTTATGTTTGATAGTTTTGTTATCATCATTCTGATGAAAGATATATACGCGACTTGCCTATATCTTAGTAGACCTTTACTTTGGTTGTAATCCAGGGCAATGGCAATGGGTACATTTGTTGTAAGTTATAAATATCAAAATTGTGCCATGGTCATGGACAGTGTCTTGTCTTTTGTTTGTGGTTGAAGTTTAACAATGAGATGACAGAATAAAATAGGAATCCAAAGTCCATATATTTGATATTTAGTAGATTTATGGTAGCTTCAACATCATTGATTGATAATAACCACTGACCAGACAAAGGTCCAAAGGATATCCAAAATTTATCAGACAATGTATTTCCAAACTGTTATTCGGTACTTAGGGTTTCGTTTTGTGGTTGGTAATGCAAGCTAGCTTACTTGGAATTTTAATATTTGTTATTTTCTGTTTATGCATTTCAGGAAAAGAAGCAGCATCGCGTGAGTTTACCGTCTGATTACTCAGATGTTCAATCCAAGTCGTATGATCCACAGTACATCTCAGACATTAGTAACAAGATGCAGATCCCAGACCGTATATCAGTGGGGGACTCCAACGGCTTACCATATCTCAACAAACATCAAGCTCGACTCAGTGACATGCATGTACCAGACAGAATCATTGTAGCAGGTAGGTACTCTTAGGATATTTATCCTGTTCGGAAAACTATATGCACCAGGCCAGTAACTAGGCCCTCCTTTCTTATTTGATTGGCATGTTTTGACTTATTTGATGGACATGTTTTGAATTATTTGATGGACATGTTTTGACTTTTTTGATGGACATGTTTTGACTTATTTGATGAAGATATTTTGACATATTTGATTGATATGTTTTGACTTATTTTATAAACAATGGTCAGAAATGTCAAGGGGGTCTTTTTTACAGATATTTGAAAGTATTATATGGTCTAATCTTTTACTGTACCTTTTTGTAATAAAGATATTATTAGTTTGTGATGAGGTGGCTGACCCATTTTCCATTACTTTTAGGAGATGAACAACATATAGGATTAAAGGAGGGATTAAGGAACTTGGACTTGAACCCTGCAGCAAACTCGGAATCTTTACAGTATGTTGGTTTGATGACACCACCCAGGACTCTGACTCTGGAAGAAAGATTCCCCTTCGTGGAAGATGAAGAGGTCAAACACAATCAAAAAGTTATGCAGAAAAATGATATGAATAACAGTCACTTGTACAGGTATGAACTTTTATAAAACTAAGGAGTTAGGGGATCCTGTAGTGGCTTAGAGAGCTTTGTTGGTTGGTAGATGACAAGTTAAAGGGATTGTCAGGATGTTTGCTAAATCTTTTTGCGTGGATCAGGGACACTTAAAGCATCAATTTGCACCATTCCAATTTTCAGTCAGATGTCTGTAGATCTTGCAATTCTACTCAAACTTAGCATTTTATGATGTCACTTTTGCAAAAGCTACCAATATCTAAGATTCTTTGCAATATCTAAGTCATAAAAAGCACAGTTTTAATTCTTCAAATTCGTCATTTCAGCTCGATACCGGTTCCCTTCACTCCAGGTTATTCCCCGAATGACTCCATCTTGTTAAATGAAGAAGATGAAGCAGTGGTTTTACGGACACACGTCGCTAAGCTAACCCGGCGCATGGCTGTCTTGGAAAAAGACAACCAACGCCGTGCTACCAGAGAACTTTTACTCTACCCAGTAGTCATGGGCTACTTTGCTCTGCGTTTAATATTCTGGATCTTGAAGACCAAATGATATAGAAATATTCTTAGAATAATGGAAATTTGTGTAAATAATTTTAAGGCTGTGCTTTTTTTTGTTTTGATTCCTTGAAATCTAGCATCAGTAAATGACATTTAATGAATTAAAGGGAGGAAGCCTTCAAATTAATTGTTTTGCCAGCGATCAAGCTACCTTTTCTCACTTTTCAGAAGAAAATCAGACTTTCAGTTTGTCTGCAATTCCTATACCTCTTACTGATTTGATTCTAATGAATTTTTAAATCTCAAACTAGTCAAGTATTTTATTTTTGACCTCGAGGACCATCTAGAGGTTTATGATTTTCGAGGTATGACTTTCTCTGGGGATCAAATTGACTGCAAAAAACAATTGTTCAGGCCACCACTTGACAAATTAGGAATGGCATTTGCCATGTTATGAATGTCATTTGGCATATATATGAGATCATTATGCATGTTAAAAATTTCAGCTGGCATATGTATGATGTCAGTTGGCATATTTACAATATCAACTGGCAAATTTTCAATATATTTTAAGTATTAGTTAATATATTTAATTGACGATTGTGCGTCTCATGCTGCAGACACTTTTTTGTCTTGAATTGGCATTTTTACAGTGTCAATTGACATAATAAAAATGTCTTCAAGATAATCATACACTCAAAATTAAACCTCTAGAAACTTTCGGGAGAAACATAGCAATACTCCACCAAGTGCCCATGAAAGATTTTTGAAATTGGGCACAAACTTTTCAAGGGTCATTCCATTTTTGGTGCCCATGAAAGAACTTTGAAATTGGGCACAAACTTTTCAAGGGTCCTCCCATGTTTCTGAGCAGTATTAGACCAGAATTGATAATTTTAAGGGACACAATTTAGGTGTAAAATAGTTGTTCATTTTTAATTTGATTGATTTGCTGTGAATATTGCCTTACTTGTATTTGAATTTTGTCTGTAAAATGAAATAATTATCATGATATAGCATTCAGAGAGTTCATATGTTTCTTATTTGTGATCTGTTGTGTCATCTGGTGTTTCCCAAGCTTTATTTGAGCTTCAAGCTCTTGAGTAGGAGTACATAAACCCTTATACCATTTGAGCTTCAAGAGCACTTGATGCTACTGTTCTTCAACTGAACATCTCTTTGGATATCCCACCTGATTTTACTTGCCTGGTTACTTTGCAAGATTGCCTTGTTCCTGGTCAGTGGACCACTCACTTGTACCCTGTACATCCCTTTGGATGTGATAAGTACTCTGTTAACCCCCTTCCAGGATGCAAGCTGACCCACAGGCCCCTGCATTGATACGCACTATTTGTCAGCAGCATGGGGAAGATTTGTGTGTGGTCTGATTTTGTTGGTTCAAGATTTACCTCCCATGAATAAAGAAGTAAACTTAAAGGACTTGATTAAACAAGACTACTTGTGTCCTTTACCAGCCCCTAAAATGTCACTTTCATTGTTTCCTCTTCTGGTCCATGTACCTATACTCATAATCTATATAATTACAGACTGGTATGACTGGAATTTCGTGCTGCCAGGACACGCCGATTATGGTGGAAAATTCAAATTCCTGACATTCTGGGACACTGTAAGTAGAAGATGTTGCTAAGTTAAGAGGTTTAAGATTGTTCCAACACCGCCAAACCAATGCTTCATACAATTTGTGTATCAAAGAGGGAATTTGTGATCCCCCTTTGACAATTGCATGGTTTTTTGGGAAGATTTCAAAGTGATAATGTTAATTTTGAACTTTCACACTTGGTTTGTGAATTAGAATTTCTGCTTTCTGTCGGAAAATAATATGTTAAGTACTGATTATACTCGGCGGTGTATATAAAAGCATACACCTATACAATATAGTCCTATGAAATTTTGTATGCAGAAAAGAATATCAGCTATGAAATTCGGTATGCCTAGTCTGTTTTATCCAGCATTTTTTTTTGTCTTTGTTCAAAGGTCATAGTCAGTTATGGGCCATTTAGCAAGATTGTATACATTAGCAGTTAGTGCTTTGTACTCCTTTTCACTAGTCTATAACATACTATATGTAGGCAGAGAAAAGGGGGATTTGTTCACTTTTAAGGGCTATGCCGGAAAATTTAAGTACCTCACTTTTTTGAATTTTGTAAGTTGGTTTCTGAAATTTAAATAATAATCAATCATATTTCCAAAGGTTAGGGTTTCTAGGATGTAAAACTCCATTTCATTACTATAATTTGTTGCCCATGTGTTGGACCAGTCTGTACCTCCAAAGATTTCGATGCAATTGATGTTTTAATGGTGTTGCACCACTGCCGCTTCTTGGAATTTTGTAGGGATGGTCCCAGGGTAGGTGTCTGAATTGTCTAGGGTTTCTTGCATATTTGAAAGTAGGGGATATTTTGACTTATTTGATTGACATATTTTGGCATATTTGGTCAACACATTTTTTTGTTTTGACTTATTTGATTGACATGTTTTGACTTATTTGATGAACATATTTTGATTTACCTGATTGACATGTTTTGACATATTTGATGGACATATTTTGACTTATTTGATGAACATGTTTTGACTTATTTGATTGATATGTTTTGACTAATTTGATAAAAACAATTGTCGCAGACAATTAGCTGTCCTTTGTTATGTTAGATATTTAAAAGTGAAGGATGGGGTAATGCTTAGCAAACTTCTTCTTTGAGACCAAGATCTATTCTGCTGTTTATTTTAATTTCAGTGTCTACAGACTATATATTTTGCTTTATCTGTTCTGAATGACCTCATCGGCAGTAATGTCTCTGTTGGTGACAAACAGAAGAAAACAGTATTACAGAAAATCAGGGATTGCTTTCATAGCACCATTATATTCCCCACTGGCGCCGTAAGTATTCACAGTTTCAAACTTTCTGATTTACAATCCTCATAAGGTATTAACTTCTATCACTGTTTCTAATATCCTAGCACCAAGATAGTTGAGAATATGCTGTCACAAAATTCTTTCAATGTCTTATAGGACCATCAGCATAGCTTCTGTTCCACAGTAAGACACATACCTGGCATGCTATCAAAATATGTCAATCAAAGAAGTCAAAATATGCCATTAAATCAATTTTAATGTCTAAATATCATTTCTACTTTCAGTTTGTGGTGCTGTCCTTCTGGGCTATCTATGCAGTAGATAGAGAACTGATCTATCCCAGAGAACTAGATAAAATCATTCCTAGCTGGGTCAACCATGTACAGGTAGGTTATTTTGTTAGGACATTTTGCATGTTCTTGGGTAGAGCAGGCAATGATCTGCAGTGTGTAATGGAGGAAATATTGGTTGAATAGTAGCTTCTGTTGCTTACTCTTCTGGTACTGTGACAATTGACAATTCTGTGGCGCCTATTGAAGATATGTAGTCTTTGAAAACAGGTCTAGCTTGTGGATTTTGGAGGTTAAAATTGGTAACAATTGTACCATCTTCATGACAATCAACTCTTCTGTTCTCTTTTCAGCATACCACCGTATTACCATTTTTAATCTTAGAAAAGATTCTGATACACCATCAATACCCCAGTAAAGTTAAAGGTATAACAGTAATTCTGGCATTTGCTGCAGCATATTTAATTTGGTAAGTGTTAAGGGATACAGTTGTCTATGTAATTAACTGTGCAAACCAGGAAGTCCAATGATGATGGACATGGGGAAACTGGGTTGACCAATTAATGATGGGGGAAAACCAGGAAGTCCAATGTTGATGGACATGGGGAAACTGGGTTGACCAATTAATGATGAGGGGAAACCTGGATGTCAAATGATGGACACAGAGGAGCTAGATTGTCCAAGTACTAATGAGGGAAACCAGGATGTCCAATGATGGAAACAGGGAATCTAGCATCTGCATTGCAACACTGATGATTCTGTTCATTCTATTCCAGGATCTTATGGATTGCCTATGTGGCTGATTTATGGGTGTACCCAGTTCTAAAAGTCCTAGACCCAGCACAGAAAGCAGTTTTCATCTTCTTCCTGTTCTTATTGTTCATATCCCTCTACCTAATTGGAGAGTCTTTGACTAAATTTATTTGGTGTAAGTAGCTATTGAACCTCTAGATCTTTCCCAGCTTACATAGAAATGGATATGGTGGTCTAACTGTGGTGCTTAATGAACTGATAATTAATTTTAAACAAAGATGTATTGGTCCCAAAGAAGCAACCACATTATAGGGATAACAGCTTAGGTTTACAAAGGATCTTAGCTACCAGCTGGTCCTTTGCAAAACCTCTTGGCATTGATCTTACAAGGATAACCACTTAGGTTCACTAGGACTCATTCTATTAGCTGGTCCTCGGCAAAACCTCTAGGCATTGATCTTACAAGGATAACAAGTTAGGTTCACTAGGACTTTCTGTTAGCTGGTCCTAGGCTAGCTGGGTCAACTGGATGCAGAATCGTTTGAATGAGTTATTTCCTTTTCCATTTCAGATTTACGCAGGCCATCACAAGTGAACAGCAAACAAATGAAGAAGTCTAAAGGCAAACAAAGATAGCTTGAAAGTACACATGTAAACTTTTTAATTTACCTATTTATTCATATTGACATCTTTTTTTATTGAGTTGAATACAGTAAGATAAATGTTGTTTATAAAAACTATGTTGGAAATAAAATAGATTTTATTTTATGATCTGTCAGTGGAAACAGCGCCTGCTTGACTGACCACTGTATATCTCACATCCTTGAGTAAGACCTTGGAGGACCAGTGAACATTGTATTTTTGGATTTTCAACTTTTTTATGAGCACAAACCAACTTGGTTTGGTAACTTGACTCCCAACACTTCTGCATATATTTTGCTTTAAACTTAGAAAGTGGAATTACAATTCCATGAAATTTGGATGGATCCAATTGAGCAGTAAATACATAAATAAAACAGTGCACCTATAGCAAAGGTAGCATATTATAAATATCCATGTTCTACCCCCCTCCCCCCGCCCCCTCTACTACAGATACCCCAATAGCTATAAGATAGTTAAAGAGCTAAATACAATACAGGCAAAGTGACAATAACCACTAAAAAATCACAAATTAATAGTGGTCTTATTTATTATTATTTCTCGTATATTATCTCCCTTTCTAAAGTTCTTTTTTATCTGCCCTTAGGTAACAAATGTGGTCTTGTTTTTTGCACGTGTGCTCACGATAGGTCAAGAGTTCAAATCTTTCCAAACGAACATTTTGCTACAAACTATTTTGATTTATTATACATACAAAAACATTAGTACAGCCATTTTGATCATCGAAATGATTCAGTCCTGACGGGTAGAGTCTCCCAAATTTGTAAAAAATGAACTTTGTTTGTCATACGTGGCGAATCAAATTAATCTATGAATATCTTACACTCTGACGGATTTGAACTCTGGTCCCCGAATCATTTAATATGACACTCAATCGACTGAGCTACTATGGTCTTTCGTTAATGGTGTCAAGTTGTTTGCATGTGCGCACACGAAATGGTAGGTCAAGGGTTCAATTCTCTCTTCTTGCAGACATTTTGCTGCAAAACTTTTTTGTTTTATTATACATCCAAAATCATTAGTACAGCCATTTTTTTTTATCTACGAAATGGTTCAGTCCTGACGGGTAGAGTCTCTCAAATTTGTAAAAACAGGCTTTCTTAATCTTATATTGTAAGCAATTTGAACAAATGTAAAACACCCCCTATGTGGGGTTCGAACCCGGGTCGTCATATTGTTGCAGCTGAAAAAAGTTGGTCTGGTTGTTTGCAGAGGTCAGAGTTGATGGGTCAAGAGTTCAAATCCCTTCAAGCAAACTATTTTGATTTTTTATACTTTCAGAAACATTAGTACAGCAATTTTTATCACCGAAATTATTCAGTCTTGTCTAGTAGCATCTCCCAAATCTGTAAAAATAAGCTTTCTTAATCTTCTATGGCAAGCCATTTTAACACAGTAAAACACCCTCTAAATGGGGTTCGAACCCGAGTCGTCATATCGCTGACTAGCCATTGGGACGTTAATTAATTGTGGTCTAGTTGTTTGCACGTGCGCACACGAGGTCAGAATTGAGAGGTCAAGAGTTCAATTCTCTCTTCTAGTTGACATTTTGCTACAAAATTATTTTCATTTATTTTACATTCAGAAATATTAGTACAGCCATTTTTATCATCGAAATGGCTCAGTCTGATCTTCTTACGTCACCCAAACTTGTAAAAATAAGCTTTCTTGATCTTATATGGCAAGCCATTTTAACAAAAGTAAACTGCCCTTTACACGGGGTTCGAACCCGGGTCGCCATATTGTTTCGCTTCACTTGGCTGAACCGATCATGTCGTTAATTAACTGTGGTCTAGTTATTTGCACGAGTGCAACTAGGTCAGAGGTGAGAGGTCAAAAGTTCAAGCCTCTACAAGCTGACATTTTGCTGCAAACCTATTTTGATTTATTATACATTTAAAATCATTAGTACAGCCATTTTTATCATCGAAATGGCTCAGTCCTGACGGGTAGAGTCTCCCAAATTTGTAAAAAGAAGGTTTCTTTATCTTATATGGCAAGCCGTTTTAACAAAAAGGAAACTGTTGGTCTATGTGAGGTCTGAACTCGGGCTCCCAGTGAAATTGCATTATACATCTCTCATCCGAGTGAGCTACTGCAGAAATATTAAATAAAGACTTGGAAGAGCTTAGATTATTTGGAACAATGAGAATTTGCATCAGGTGATTAATATTAACAAGTGGTCAATAATCTGCACGTGCATTTCGTGCCGTGACACAATAAATACAATGAGTTTAAGGTGAAATATCATTCTACTTGGAAATCATCGACCCATCACATTTGACTGGAAAAATGGCATTTTTAGCAATAATATTTTAGCTCTATTTTTCATATTTTTTTTTTAAACGTTTAAATATTTACGAATAAAAAGTACAAAACCCGCTTATTTATTTGCTTGTTGATTTGTGTATGTGGTAGCTATTTTTATATTTTTGTTGGTTTTTTATATATTTTTCAGGTTTTTGATGTTTTAGTGGGTTTTTATGTTAGTAGTGCGGTGTTTGTGCGCGCGTATGGGTAATGTATATTAAGAATAATTTAATATTTTACTTACCTTGTTTGATTCTTCGACTTTTTGTGGACTCGAACCCACATCGCTGTGATGAAAGACGAACGAACACATTAACCGGCTGAGCCATCGCACTTGGCTGAATGATTGCTAAGATTTAAAGTCTAAATCAAATGAGAAAGCTATAATACATTGTAGAGAACTAAGATCAAGATATTAGTTTAGTCACCACACCTTCGTACGTGCATGTCACTGTGGCTCAGTCGACTCGACAGCCAGTGTATCAGCTGGATTTTAAGTCGGAGGGTTCGATTCCCACCGCGAGAATATTTTTATTATATATTTGATAAAGGCTTTAATTATATAGACAAAATAACAACTGATTTCGTCTGTCACCGTGGCTCAGTGGTTAGAGTGGTAGGTCTTGATGTAAACCATAGTGGGTTCGAACGCCTGACGTGGTACCATCATTCATTTTACCTTTACTCTGATGGTTGTAGGGTTATATAGATAAATTTGTTAAGTTTCTTCGTCGTCTCGATAGCACAGTGGTTAAAGTGCTCAGTCGGCTAATGATCAGATAAGACTCTGACGGGGACACTATCAAAACAATTTTGACAATTTCATCATAAAGTTCACATATAAAATGGTTAATTTCTGGTAATATTCCTGTGTCCGCCGTAGCCCTGTGGTTAGAGAGGCATAGACGATTCTGGTGCGAATCCCGCTGAAGCCGACGATGAAGAGTTCTCTATTTTGATCTTATAAATGATTTATAATCATTTAAAAGAGCTTAAATTTCCAGGTTTGCTAACGGGTCTCTATGGCCTAGATGGATGGATGGTGGACTTGGGCTAGAACTCTGTTTCGACGGCGAGGGTTCGAGCCCAGGTAAATCTCCAGAGGCTTTTAGCCACTGTCTCATGTTCTCTCTCTCATTCTAATATGAGAGACCTGAGTTCTCTAGAGGTAAGATGTCAGTTGACACGTTGGGCCTGCCGCAGGCAAGACACTACCAATAGATAGAACGAGGGGCAAAGCTGAAGAACTTGAGACAAGGAGGGGAGCCGAGGGGCAAACTGGTGCCCGGGTCCCTCCAAGATTCTAAAAGGAGAGAGGAAGATACTTACTATTTTACTACTATAGTAGGTTGTGACTTTGAACTTTAAATATTACTTACGAACGCCTGTTTAAATCCCACCTATTTTGGCCGTGGTCGTAGAGTTGTTCGTCCCTCCCTACATTTTTCTATCGTTCAAACGTCCCGAGTTCGATTCCCACTCAAACCCAACTTTCGGTTTTAAAGTATTTTTTACGTCCAAAGCAGATTCTAGTGGTTTTGAGTGCCCACTATGGAAAATCTTTCACAACTAGATTTCCCCGTGGGGTTCGAACCCACCTAAGTTTCTAGAGGATGTTAGTCCTTACTATGGATGACGTTATTGCAACCGTGTTCTCCCGACGCTCTACCACTGAGCCATCCAGTCGAACACAAACTTGGAAATTTTATCCATTATAACTGTAACCTCAAGTTTTAAATAGTGTAAAATTAGGTACTGTACATTCATCTTACAATCCATCAAAGGTTTCAATCCCACGCCTCGATGTTGTCAGACCAACGCTCTACCACTGAGCCATCCAGCCAGACGATTTAGCGAATTATTTATCCAATATAACCGTAACCTCGTATCTTAATAGAAGAAAAATTCCTGTGGGCTATCAGTGGGTATTGAACTAGCATCCTTTCCTTTCAGAGGATTTTCCTACCACCGTACCGACTTGGCCACCGCGGACGTTAGATACGATTGAAAATTAAGTCTATATATCCTTTTAAATTCTATAAAAATCTGTAAGATAATACCTGGGATCGAACCCTCGACCCTAACTTCATAAGCTTCCAATTTTCAACTACTTAGACCGCTCATCCACCATGATTGTTCAATTGTTCATCAGAGTCCCAATCCTGTACGCTTTTGTGAATTTATTTCATATCATTATGCTTTATATTCAA